ATATGACCGATTGATGACTGATTTTTCATATTTCGACCTGTGTAAAGTATCTTACGCAAGAGAGGGGTGAACAAATTTGTCCAGATGATATAATAGACGTGTTTAGAGGTGGTAAAACTGCGAAAATAAAGCAAAAAAATGGGATAATTTGCCAGTATATCCAACTGAAAAAAGAAAAGTATTGAAAATGAAGGAATTAGTTCAGTTTGCCTTAGCAGATTTAGTAGTTCGTGGTTTAGTTCAAGAAAAAATTATATTGCGAAAAACATTTGAAGGTAGTAAAGGTTTATCTAGTAGTATTGTTGTAATAGGTGTAGTACCTGGTGCACAAGCAAATGCTAATATGCAAACATGGTATTATTTTGTAAAATAATTTTAGCAGAAATTACAATAAATCTGATTTATTATTGTTTTTGTTACACAAAAAAACCAAAAAAAAATTCGCCATGTGCACTATAATAAAAATGATCGACATTGACTCTACCCTTAAGGGATAATGAAATCGACATGATTTGCATATTTATTATAAATCAACAATCCATTAATCAGGGGGGTAATGGGGCAATGGTCAAAGCAAAACAATACATTATTTCATAAAAATATATGACGATATAGTCAATATATGCATGCATGTTAATATTTTTTAATATCAGCATCTTATTCAAATGATTTTCTCATTTATTCCGTATTCTAATATTTGGACGATGGCAGAGATAATTGTATGTAACACATAAACAAATAATCTATCTATCTAAAAAACAATAGTAATTGGGGCTCATTTATGAAAAAAATATTTCCTTGATAATGTAACGTTACATATTGCACAATCTCTTTTGTAATTAATTTACTTAAATGGGAAAATAAATATTTAGTGATTTTCATCACGAGTATTACAGTAATGTCAGGTGGATATTGACAAACCAAAATTTAGTGTACGAGTTCAATATTGAAATAAACAATGACAATAATAAATTATTGCGATGTAATACCGATTACCGATCAGTCAAGTAAAGACCAATGAACGAATTAGATAATTTACTACGAAGATTAGAATATAAAAAGGATAAAGAAGGCCTTTCATTCTTTAAACAAAGTGAAAGATTTCCTATTAATTAATTGATACACTGTACAGTGCTGCAAATATATACAAAATGGGGAAATTTATAAAAAAATCGATAAAGAGAAATCAAATATACAAAAAAATAAATTCGGACGTATGTCAAATCAAATTTATTTTATAATATGAAATTCGAATTTCATAAAAAATTAATTTAATTATTTGTAGGGAAATAAAACTATAAAAAATTATATGGCTGAGTGGGAAAAAAAAGGAAAAATAATTAAAACACCTTTTGTAGAATTGTCTAAAAAATTAAAAGACGAGCACGAGCTTAACTTTGAATCAAAAGCAATTTGTGATTAGTAAGTAATTTTTATGGATAATTTTATTAATTTAAAATAAAAAAGAAAATTAAAAATTTTTTTTACATTATAAATTTTAGTTGGTGGAATATCCTTGATCCACGCCGTAAGTCTTAAAATTCTGTGTTCTTTTTTAAAGAATTAAATTAACATTTTATCTTAATTATTTTAGTTGAACATTCACCTTACTCTAAAGAAGAGAAGGATCATATCTATGAATGGGCAAATAAATATCAAGAAAATGGTAATATTCAATGGACGCTTTTACAAGCTGAGATGGAAACGAAATTTGGTAAATTTCGCGCGAGAAATGAACTCAAAAACATCTGGAACGTTAAAAAAAGACAACTTGAGGCTAAAAGTAGCAATCTTAAAAAGGAAGATGATAAAAATGAAGGTGAATGTGAATGTGAGGATGAGCTTAAATATGATAAAACCGATGTTGAATATGCAATTGAGGATAAAGGAAAACATGCAATTCAATTCCTTATAAATCCGTCTAAATAGTGTATGAAAACCCCAAAAAAATATAATTTTTAAATATAATGACAGCACCGGATTATTTTATTATAGGTTTATATTATTATTACTTAAATATTTTAGACAGAATAAAATACTTTTACATTCTTTTTTTCGATCAAAATTTCTAAACAAGACGCTTTATTATAAAATATATTGCGTAACATAACAAAATGTCACTATAATTGAAATGATCAACATTATTAAAAAATTTCCGAGGGGTGGTACATGAAAGGTAAAATGGTACTGTAAACGTAATTGTGTTAACTAGATAATCTATAATCTACAATCTAATATATGTATGGTACATACCCCATAGTAGTACATTATTTTAATAAATATTAATAAATACGATTTATAAAGGTTGCATTAATTTCGTTCATAAATCATATAAAAAAATTTTTTGACAGAAAAAAAAAATCATAATTTTTAATAGCAAAATGAGATATACAAATTATTTAGAGCCACTTAGTAAGTTAATTATACCATTTATTTATTTATTTATAAGAATTTAAATTAACTTCTCTTATTCTGTTTAGTCAACCAAGTTAACCGTGGTCCATTCACAGATAGTGAGAAAAACTACATTTATGAATGGGTTAGTAGTCGTCTAAAGGATAAGGATAGTGACATGATTCGATGGGAACTTTTACAAAATGAAATTCAAAAAGAATATGGTCAATTCCGTTTACGAAATGATCTTAAATACCAATGGAATTGTAAGAGAAGACAAATTTCGCGGAAGTGTATTACAGATACAGAATATCTTTCTACTCTTCATGAAGATGACGAAAGAACACCACAATCTAACCTCACAGTATGTTAATTAAAGTGATATTTATTAATTTATTTATTTATTTCAACGAGAATAACGATTGTTATTTTGAATTTTAGGAGGAGAAAATAAATTGTATGGAGCCACTTGGTAAGTTAATTATCTATAGACTTATTTATTTATCTAAAAAAAAATATTAAATTAACTTCTTTTGTTCTTTCCGTTTCCTTCTGTTTAGTCGGCAAAGTTAATCATGATCCATTCTCAGAAAGTGAGAAAAGCTACATTTATGAAGATTGTGACGTGTTTCGAAGGGGTAAATTCTGTTTACGAAATTATCTTAAATATCAATGGAATCGTATGAGAAGACAAATTTCGCGGCTATATAATACACCAAATACAGAATATCTTCCTATTCTTAATGAAGATGATGAAAGAACACCACAATCTAATCTCACTGTATGTTAATTAAAGTGATAATATTTATTTATTCATTTATTTATTTATTTCAACGAGAATAACAATTGTTATTTTTAATTTTTAGGAGGAGAAAATAAATTGTATGGATCCATTTGGTAAGTTAATTACCTATAGACTTATATATTTATTTATCTAAAAAAAATTTAAATTAACTTCTTTTGTTTTTTCCGTTTCCTTCTGTTTAGTCTGCATAGTTAATCATGATCCATTCTCATATAGTGAGAAAAGCTACATTTATGAAGATTGTGACGTAATTCGATGGGAACTTTTACAAAGTAAAATTCAAAGAAAATATGGTAAATTACGAAATGCTCTTAAATCCAAATGGAATCGTAAGAAAAGACAAATTTCACGGCACATATTCTTTCTAATATTATAACTTTTTCATGAATATGATAACAATCTAACTTCAAAATTAATTTAAAATTAAATTTAAAAAACTTTTTATTTACATAACGACAAAACATGTAATTAATATTTTTAATATTTAAAATAATAAAATTTTTTTCGAACTTATTTAAATTTCATTATATTATTGGATCGATTTTATTATTTGGCCGTAAATTAACAAAGTAAATTTTAAATGTTGGACCAAAAAAAAAAATTTTTTTAACAATAATGAGATCGAAAAGAATTTTTAGGTAGTACCTAAAAAATTTTATTATTATGAATTTACAATGAATAAATTATTTTTTTTGCATATCAATAATTGTAAAACCAGTAAAATTAAATGTCGCTAATTTTAAATGAAAATAATGACTTAATCAATCGGTCCTGCATCTAAAAAAGGAATTGGTCAGGTCAAGGTCATGAGATCACTCAATAGACTTCAATTAAAACTCGGGTTAGGAAATGATGTGCATTAATTTTTTTATATATTATTATTTATATGATCATCTACTCAAATCTACATCTAGTAGTACACCATTGTCAAAAGTACAGGATATCAATGATCATTATTCATATGAATAATTGTCTCATGTCATCAAGTCATTACATACATTACAAATCTTTATTTGGAACCGATCAAAAGATATACAATTATCTAATTTGGTAAATCAATTTAGTAATTTACAATGAATGTTAAAAATGATTAACAAATCGGATCTTCATTTTTTTTATACTGACCGCATTTATTGTAAAATAAAGTTTAATATTGTTGTATTATTTAACATTTAGTTCAACAATTTCAACAATGAATAAATGAAAATGCAATTTTTTTGTTTTTACCCCCCCTCGGTAGATCCTCTTGTGATCATTTTCCCAAAAATATTTAACAATACATAATCTAAATATCGTTTATCCTTCTATTATGTGTCACACGATTTCTTTTATAAAAAGTGCTCGATCGCTCTTTATCTTTTATCCTTTTTTTTTCATACTATTTTCTTTTTGTTTAGTAAATCAAACAAAAAACCTTTTTTTTTAAAAAAAAAAAACAAAATGGAGATGAAAAACCACGACTTTGCTGACCACGATATAAAAGACCACGAAAAAATTGATGACGATAAGAGTGTTGAAGATAGCGAAAGTACTGAAGAAGTGAATAAGGATGTTGCCCTCAGGAAGAATACCAATAGAATACATAAAACAATAAGTGAAGAGGTATGTTATAGAACAAATTTAAAATTTAATGAAAGAAAAAAATATTCCCATTTTTAAAATTAATTTTTAACTTTTTAGGGTAAGAAAATTATAGTAGATTATATGGAAGACTGGAAAAAAGAAAGAAAACCTAGTAATCCTTTTAAAATATTGGCTATAAAATTAAAGGATAGTTGTAACTATGACTATAATTCAAAAGCTATTTGTGACTAGTAAGTTATCAATTCATTTATTACGAGTGATTTTTTTTAAAAAAATAAATTAATTAACTTTTTATTTTATAAATTTTAGTTATTGGAATATGCTTGATCCTTGCCGTAAGTTTTAAAAATTCTATTTGGTTTTTTTATTAAATGATTGAATTAACCTCTCATTCAATTTATATAGTCGTCAAGGGACCTATTCCTCCGGAAGAGAGAAAACGTATTTGCGAATTGGTTGAAGAATATCTAAGAACAAACGGCTCTATTCCATCCCAAATTCCATGGAAGGGTTTACAACCTAAGGTGCAAACGGAATTTGGTAAATTACGCTCGCGAAATAGTCTTAAAAATGTTTGGAACTCTAATAAAAGGCGTACCAAAAGATTAGTTAAAAGAAATGACCAACTCGCTTTTCCAATTAATGAATCTGGAACTTACACCAAACAAGAAAAACTTGAACTTCGATACCTGTTGAATAAAGAAGATGAAAATGATAAAAATGAAGATATGGATTTAGATAAATAAGTGTTAGACTAGTAATTTATTATTTTAGCTGTAATCTTTATATTTTCTTTTTTTCGTAATTTGTTATTTTTATTTTTATTTTTATTTTTATTTTTATTTTTCTTTTCTTTTTCTTTTTCTTTTTTTTTTAATTATATTTTCTTAAAAACTTAAAAAAAAAAATTATTTTAAAAATTAATATGTAATTATCTTAATAAAAAAAAAAAAAATTTTTTTACTATCATAATCCTCTTGTTTATGTCAGACCAGTAATTTAATTTGGACTATATTTGAACAATATAAATATTACATTTGCATCTTTGCATCGCCAAACTTTATTATAATGTAAATAAACATTACTGTATGGACACAAATCATAATAAGCCATTATTTATTATCAAATGTTAATCAAGCAAAATGAGAACGAATTTGGTATTAAATCAATGAAAAAGAAAGATTCATACTAAATTAGATAAGATCAGCTCACATCATTTGTAAAATCCAGACCGATCTGCGACATAATTGATCATTATGCCAAGTGTCAGGTACTATGAAGTACTGGTACACGTGCTTCAGAGATGTATTACAAAAAAAGCTTTCATTTTGACATAAAATAAATAAATAAAAATTTTTTTTCATTTTAAGTGTTATAATTCTTTGCTGCGGTCAATTTAAATGTGGAATCGTACCATAGTAAGGCTTTTCATATTTATTTTACATATTCATAAATTTATTTTAAAAAATACTTTTTTTATCAAAGTTTAAGATTATTAATACTGACTAATACATAGATAAAATAGGATTTTTTTTTTCTCTTTTATTATAAATACGATTATTGCTTAATTTACAAATAATTGACCAGTAAATAATGTTGTGAGACAAGATTGTAAATTAATAATGTATAATCGCTCCCTAAACATGTTTAATCCATTTTTATTCCATTCAATAAACAATATTTAATCAAGTTCAATAGCGTCATTGTTTTGAGTGAATGTTGATCATTTGATAGACTTTAAATTTGAGTGGAACAATTTGCCGATCCATGTGGATTGACTTCGATAGATTGACAATGAAAATTTAGCCTAATCAGATCATTTTCTTATTAAGTATCATAAGATTTTATTTTATTTATTTTTGTATTTATTGTAAAATAAAGTTTAAACAATTGAATAATTATGTAATAATTTACCCCTATGTGGATTGAATCGATTTATTTGCTTAAATTATATTATTTGTCATACAATTTTCCCATGAGATTAGATTTAAATAGCGTTTATCCAATACGATAATTATAATAATTATATATATATATATAAGGTGATATTATTTATCTTTCATTCTCTTTTACCCTTTTTTTCCCTCGAATAATTCAAATATTGAAAATAAAGATTAAAAAAATTAAATCAAAGAATTTCTACTTGAACTCATTTACTATCAAATAACAATAAATATTTTTCAAAAAAAAAAAAATCATGTCGTTGATACTGTCGCCACATTTATCAGTTTGTGTATGTTTTAATTATTAAAAATAATTTTTTTTTATTCGTAAAGAGCAAGTAAATTTATTTATTTATTTATTTTTTTTTAGTACAGAAAAATAATAGATTGGATAAGGAAGTGGTGCAATAAAGATAAGAGAATGCCACCGAATACACTAAATGAGAAAATAGGTACAAATGAAAAAATAAATACATGTAATGATACATGTAAAAAATCAACGCCGACCTTTCATTTTGTGAACCTTTTAGAGTTTTTTCCAAATCTTGGTATATCAGACGATACTACCACCTCGGATAAGGGCACTAAACTTTGGGATGAAATGAAACCAAATATTACAATTCTAGCGGATGAAATGAAACCAATAATATAGCTCAATGTGTGCTCATTCGGCAGGCCGAAATTCTATTTTATGTGTATATAGTTCAATTTTTTAAAAAAAGTGTTTAAATAATAAACCAACAATCGGATTTTATTTCATACATGTATATACTGTATATATACAGTATTTCAGAATTTGTTTTTTTTTTTAAAAAAAGTATTTAAAATAACTTAATAAAGTGGTAATACCTAATTAATCGCAGGCATTTAATTGTATTAATAAACATTTTTAAATCTTTACTAAATCCACTGGAATGTTAATCAACATACTGTATATATTGTACAAAAGTACTTATTTTACTATATCTGATATGTGTTTATATTTGAAGTTTGTTTTTTAATGATATCATAAATCTCATCAAAGATAAATAATATTCAGAGATATTAAGTCATAATATAAATTTAACGTTGATTTCTTAAAGAGTACTATGTATTTTAATCTCGGTCTTAGCAAACCTATCTTATTTTTCTACGCCCAATTAATTAAATTATTCATACTGGCATCCAAAAAAAGTAATGATTTATATACCAATTGTTGAAAATAATTTATTGTTTCGAAATTATCTGAACGATGTTCCAAAATTTCTAACTATAATATACTGTTTCCTTAACACGATTGTTAAAAATTATGGAGCCCCTTAAAATGAAGCACTCGTTTATTGTAGTTGTACTCTTCCTTAACACGATTGTTAAAATTATGGAGCCCTTAAAATGAAGCACTCGTTTATTGTAATTGTACTCTTCCTTAATACGATTGTTAAAAATTATGAAAATATGAAGCACTATGATGAGATACTACTGTATATGCATTATGCGGTGTAACTCGGGAAAATTTGCCTTAGATTTTTTTTTTTTTAAAAAAAGGGACTGAACCTTAACGAGAAGTCTTCTGGAAAAAAAGAGATGGTCTATTTATATATGTAATTGCATCATGTGACAAAAAAAATTCGGATGGACCTAACCTATTTTCTACATGATTTGGATGTTAAAATTAAAAATTTTTCATTCAAAAAATTAAAGCGGTTTAATTCGATTTAATTAACTAAAAATAGGATGTGAGTGAAAGCCTTTAATATTTACTTAAGAAAAATTTAAATATATCTTAATTTGTAAAATTATGAAACAAAATGAATCTAAATAAGCTATTGAACAAAGAGGATCTTCGTTAGCAAAGTTATTAAAATGGAATCAAACAAAGTGATATTCACAACTAACATTTACACAGAACGCCATATCATATTGGCGAAATTTCCGGCTTTTGGATTCGATTATTTATCCTATTTTGGTTGGAACCCTTGAGTCTTGGCAAGGGGACGCTACCTTTTAACAATTGTTTGAAGTAGGGATCGAAGGTTATAATCACGTGACTTATTGTTTTTCGGACTAAACTTTCGAAAAGTAGCGAAATTGATTCTTTTTAATTGAAGGTTATAACACATAAATAGTGGATAAGTTCAAAAATCCTTTTTCTTATCTCGAATTTAAATAGCAGGAAGAATTTATTTGACCAATAAAACCTAATTGACTAAACTTTTTTTATAATGCGATTTCAAATTTTCACTCAAAATATTAAAATATAATTTTTTTGAATCTTTATTTTTTCTCAATTCACAAACCTTCGATAATATAGAAAAGAATTTATCGAGTAAACGTATGTATGAATTCTTCGAGGATCTATTGTAACTTTCGCTTCTAAGTAATTAAAAAAAAAAATAATGAATTTATTGTATTCTAGACAAAAATAAGATAAACTTGTCCATAATCCATTGTTTAAGTGTTAATTCAATTTATTATTTTATTCATTTGAGAAAATTATTAGTATTTTCTTTCTTTTAAGCTTTCTCTTCTATAAATAATTTATCCAACAATATCTTATAAGCGCCTTTAAATAAAATATAATTATCAGTGCGTTAATGTAAGGTATTGTGAGAATTGTCTTTCAAGTGCAAAGACAAAAAAGTGATACAGTATAATATCGTGGTAATTTATCCTATTTTATTATATATCCACAGTTAATTATCCTGGATATAAAGTATCTCCGAATTATTATAATAATATTTTATCCAGGATATAATTATTACTTATTGGATGCAATATAGCCCATACCAATAGGGATGTTCATTTCTGGTCGGATTATTTTCGGTCAACTATATTGGTACCAATAGAAATAAGGTCGTTATTTATGATCCAAATTAAAAATATAGAATTTTAAAAGTTTGGATACATAAATATCTAGTCAATATAAGATAAACCAACAAATTGGCCACAAGCGGCCAGAAATGAACAGGATGTACTTTAAAAAAAAATAAAGGAACGTTAATATGACGTTTCTAATTATTATAAACAAAAAAAAAAAATATCTTAAATCCGACGATTTAATAATGCTTGGGACATTTGGACGATGAGATCTCGAGCATAATCTAAATCAAAAAATAAATGATGTATAATCTCTCAATTATTGAATCAAATTATCATTAATTATGATATTTTTAGATAATATAGTCGGATAAAATTAGAGTAGCGATTTTTAATTAAAAAGTTGTCATATAATGTATAAATTCATTTCAGGTAAGGATACGCAGATCAGAACGAGATTTGCATATATATATATATATTATATATATTTATAATATATATATATATATAAAAATACAGTTTAGTAAAAAATTTATATGAATAATATTTTATTTTACTCTATATTACGTATTTATATTATTGCATTATTATTGCATTAAATCGATTCAATAATTCTTAATTTAAAATTGTAATTTAAATTATACCATAATTTAAAAACGTTTGTCAATAATTAATTTATTATATCCTTTCATATTTGAAATCTAACTTTTATTGGGATGTTAACAATGAGATTTAATATTAGATAAACACTTTATCTTGTTGTAAATAAATCAATCCCTTTGAATGCTTTAAATGCAGCATTCATTCATTCATATTAATAAATAATATAATAAGGAGTTACTTAAGAAGTATTAAACATAAATAGAGGCGTTTTTTTTTAAAAAATGAATTTAGGCAAAAAGCTTGTTCATTATATCCAGCCTTTTGTTCTTCATTAATAATCAATTTCAACATTATAAAGTTTAATAATGTATCCAAATTTGAGTGAAAAAGAATCAGCGAGGAAAATAATTAAAGAAGAATCTACGAAGGATGCACTTTTGTTCGATAAAGAAAAACCCGTAAAGGAAATAAAAAAGAGGATCAATGAAGGAATCAAGAAAAAATTGAAAAATAAGAAACCACGAAAGTTCATGAAAGGTGTAAAAAAGAGAAGATCTATTTTCGATGAAGAAGTATGAAATTTGTTTTTTTTTAAATTTTTTTCATAAATTTATTATAATTAAAATTTTGTTACATTTTTGTCTGCAGAGTGATCAAACTATTTTGGATAAGATGGCAGAGTTTGAAACAAAGAAAGAACGCAGCCCGTTCGTGGAAATCGCTAAAATAATTCCTTACGATCAACGTCAAATTTGTAATCGCTGGCGAAACTACCTTAACCCAAAATGTAAATAGTGGAATCTTTTTGTTAAAACCCTTTTTTTTAAAAAAAAAATTGATTTTTTTTTCTGGCCTCATTATTAATTAGTATGCCATGCTCCTTTGGGAGAAGGAGAAAAACAGTTTATTAACAAATGGATTTCAAAAAGGGAACCATCAACTAAAACGAAACCTAATTCAGGAAAAATTTTAAAGCGTAAAAAGTATGAAAAACCAATAGAATGGAAAATTTTACGTCAAGACTTAGAAAACGAATTTGGCCTTTTCAGATCGGAAAACATCATAAAAAATTATTGGTATCCTAACTTAAAAATTAAAGAAAAAGAAGAAAATAATGATCTTAAAGTAATTCAAGAGGATATAGAAGAAAATGAAAACATGATCGTGTCATCTCCCTGTGAGGATGCAATGGTTTCTAATAACGTGTACAATAATACAGCACGTATCACTATCATGTCTCCACCTCATAGTGTTTCACGATCTCTTTCTTTACCTCCTATTTCTTCTATTTTGAATAATCTTCCTCCACCTCAACGAAGTCACACGTTACCTTCCATCTCGGGTATTCCTCCTCGATTCCTTGATGATGATTCCACACAAAGTCGTACATTACCTCCTATCTCTTCTATTTGGAATAATCCTTCACAATGTTTCATATTACCTTCCACATCTTTTATTTCGAACGAGCCCTCTTGTCTTTATTATTATTCCACACAAAATCGTCCCAGATTACCTCCCCCCTCTTCAATTTCAGATATGACTCGACCCCTTGATTCTTTTTATCAACGACAATTGGGACCATTACGCCGCTAAAAATATATATAAAAAATTCATGATTATTACTTTGTGGAATCTTATGTTGATTATTAATTATACTTACTTTTAATGCCCTAATCTTCTTTCTTCTTTCTTAATCTTGGACAAAACTTATTCATTTCACACCAAAAAAAAAAATTATTATTAATCTTTTTTCACTACGTCACAATTTCGGTTCTCTTCTCTTCTTGATCTTTTTTTTTTGTATTATCATTTTTGGTTTGGATAGAATTTTTTTTTCTCATTTTAACANGACAGACGTAATGTATTTTGACAGATGTAATTAATTTATAGTAATTTTATAATAAATAGTGAATTGATCCGTTCGCCGAAATATAACGTAATTAATTAGCAGAAAAGTATAGTTAAAACATTAAAAACATTATATTAAAATCAAACAAATAAAAAAATCCATTTATTTACCTTTAAAAATCCAGTATGTACAAAATTCTGATACTTTTAGAAAAAAAATAAGAAATGAAACATTAGAAATGTTTCTTTAAAGTCAAACAAATAAAAAAGTCTTTCTTCTTTATTTATTTCTAAAAAAAAATATAAAATGAAATATTAAAAATATTTTTTTAAAATTAAATAAATAAAAAACTTTCCCTCTTTCCAATTTATCTTTAAATTAATATATATAAAAAACTAGCATTCTTAGAAAAAAAAAATAAAAAATAAAATATTAGAAATATTTCTTTAATATTAAATAAATAAAAAAAGCCTCTTTTTCTTATATATCTTTAAAATTCAACATTTAGTTAGCATTTTTTTAAAAAAAAATAAAAAATAAAATATTATTAGAAATGTTTCTTTAAAATTAAACAAATAAGAAAAGTCCCTCTTCTCTATTTATTTTTAAAAATTTACTGGTATGTACAAAAAACTCAATCAAAAAAAAAATATAAAATAAATTGAAAAAAGAAAAAAATATATATATATATAAAATAACTTTAATAACTTTTTTTTTATTCAAAAAAAAAGAGCAAATAAAATTAATAAAGTATTTTTTTTATTTTTATGGTATATCTATCTGTCTTGTGGATATAATATTACATATTGAGTTATTTTGACAAAGTTGACAAAGAGAACAAAGGGAACTTTGGGTAGAAGTCATTCACGTTTTATTTACACAAAGTATGATATACATTTGACATGACAATGTCACACAAAACTATCAACCCGAACGGTTAAAGAAATAATAAAAAAGTTCATACAATTGTTGCTATACTTATTTTTCATTATCTTTGTGATTCACATCATTTTAAAAACTTTTTTTTGATCCAATAAATGTGGTCGAAAAGAACAAAGAAAATTATGAAAAATTATTTATTTAAAGCGTCCAAATTCTAGAGTTTGAACTTTGAATTTCTTTTTTTATAAAGTAAAAAATCCAATTACAATTAGTTACTTTAATATCACTAACAGTAAGAATTTAAATCCATTTACAATCGTTAAAAACAGGAGAATTTTATATAAACTGGCTTCTTCTAGTCGCATTCTCGGAGATTTTCCCTAGAAAAGTATATAGAATACGACACAGTTTTATAAAAATTATCTCATACTTCAAATATCAAACTCAAACTCAATTTACGGAGATTCATGACCCTTGTAAGGGTGGATACGTAGAATAATTTGTGTACGAGATATCTCTGAATTCAAATTTCTTGCAAAAATCTTACAAAGTTCGATCGATGCGGAATATCGAAATAACTTTGGCCAAATTTCTAGTGCTGGCCAGATTTAACAAATGTATCACGTGATCAATATACTCACTTGCGGCGGCGTGCGCCACACCTAATGGCGGTAAAGATCGCCGATCTGTTTTTTAAGATTTTGTTTTTTTTAGATAAAAAAATCGGTAACATTGATCATTATACATTATATTAAACATAAATTTGTCTCGTTCAAATTTATTATAAATTGTATTATATTTGAATATTTACTTTGAAAACGAAGTAAATATGTAAGATACATCATTGTATTACATTTGCAGATTTGCATTGTAAATAATTCTAAATTTGACATTATACTCATTCACATTCATACAAGACAAAAAAAGAAAAATTAAAATGAAATCATACAAAGGGACTTTCTTTATGTACATGGGAAAATTATGTATATATAAAAATGGAAATTTTAAATGGTTTAAATATTTTTATATTAGTATTTATACTATATAATATTAATAATATATAAATAAAAAGTAAAATCCAAGAATCTTTACTTTTAGAATGAAATTTTTTATTTTATAGGCTAGGCGAAAAATTACAAATATTTATTAAACAATATCTGCGCATTCCTTGTTAGATATTTTAGTATACAGATTCAATAAATTATTAAAGAATATATTTTTATTGTATATCGAATATACATAAAAATATATACTTTATGCTTGTATTCTAACGAGTCAAAATAGATCTACTTCATCCTTTCAACATCCTTTCAACACTTAATTTGGTGTATATTGAATGGAACCTTTTAAAAAATATATTATTAAAATAATTGAACTTTATTCTTTAATTCGTATATAATATTGTAATTAATAAATATACAGTAAATATATGTATTAAATAAAAAATCTTTATTAAAATGTATATTTTGATTTAACCAAAAATAAAGTGAATAATATATACTTTATATTACTGTAATATGCATCTGGTTTTTGAACTGGTACATAATCTTGTAATTGAAAGATATAATACTTTATTGAAAGGACATTCAATATTCCTCTTATTAGGATATATATTATACATCAGCCAGAAAAAGAGAATTTAAATAAATAAATAAATATATATTTTAATTTATGTATATATTTTTTATTATAACTGGTTTTTTTACCTGATCTTGTTTATTAAATATCAAATACGTTCCTTTGGTACGCGCAGAAAATTAAAGATTTATATAAGGAGTGTCTTCGGGAATTCCCCTAAATTTTATTCATTATCAAATTTCTTATTTTTGATTGTGAATAATAAAAAAAAAAAATAATAATAATAACTCAAAACTTACCAACAAATTCTTCCTATAATGCTGTCACCTCAGGATGTAAGTTGAAATGATTATTATCAAATTATTATTGTTGTTGATATTAACTTAATTACACGGATTTTTGCAGAGGCACACCGTTTTACTTGAATTAAAACGTTTAAGACGTATTGGAAACGTCCGTGATCCGTTTGTAAGGATTAGTAGAATCCTTAACAACAGATACACTGCTAGCCAGATTAGTAATTACTATCGTAATTATCTTAACCCTGAACGTGCGTATATTTATTGGATTGTTTACTTTCACGTTCTCGTTCTCATCCAATATATTCTCTTTTATTAGTTAACCTTGATGATTTAAACGATGATGAAGAGTATTTTATTGACGATTGGATTTTATGTAATAGGACAGAAAATGGGACAATACGATGGACGTCTCTTATTAAAGATCTAAGAAAACGATTTGGCTTTCTTAGATCTGAAAATATGGTCAAGAACTACTGGTATACAAAACAGAAACGTTCTAGAAACTCAAGTCAGAGACGTAGACGCTTATCAACTTCTTCAAGATCTTCAAGAAGATCAAGCACCTTTACCATCGCATCAACCGTTATTCCTGTAACTACTATCACCTTACCATTCGATCCAACTGCCTTGCTTACTCCTCCTCATCATGATGACTATACTTACCATCAGCAACATAATTATTTATTACCCACTTTACAATGTAACTTTTACCCAAAAGAAGACAAATTCCTCTTTAAAAAATTCTTGTAAAATAATGCATTTATTTGTACAATATGCAATGTAAAGTACATGTTTTTTTCTTATTCGTTCTATTATCTGTAATTATTTGTAAAAAAAAAATTATGTTTATTTTCTCCTTAATAAAAAATTCATTTTGTATTGTAAAGAATCGCTCATTTATACTGTAAATTGTAAAATTAAAGAGAATTAATGGGAAAGATAAATATCAAAAGAACATATGAAATTAATAAGACGACAAATAAAAAAGAAATTCGAAAAAACACTAATAACGGAATAGTCATGTTAAAAAAATGGCATATTTATAATAAAAAAACGAAAGATAGGATACGTCCCCGTATCTTCACGCTATTTTACTAAATATAGTCTTAAAATAATGAAAATCTATTAACAATGAAATTTTTTAAAAAAATCACTCATGGGACATTGATAAAGGAAATGGGAATGAAAAAAAAGAAATTTCTATTAAAAGTATATGTTGATATTTAATAGCTTTAAAAATTTAGGTCATAAAAAGTATATAATTGAAATAATGGATTATTTTAACTTTCGTTCTTGTTCTTTTAAATATCAAATTCAATCGATCACATCACTATGATTGCTTGGGATACAAAAATCTATTTTTAGGTAAAAAGTTATTTTATCCTTGTACCAAATGACCAGTAATGAAATCTCATGATCTTGATAAAATTTTTTTTCATGGAGCGTAACAGTAACGTATCATCAAATCTTTACTATAATTCTTTTTTTAAAATAATTGCTCTATCCTTAAAAGAACGCTAATTAGGAAAGTATTTCAATGTTTTATGATGTGTGTTACTTCATTCGTTCATTTATGATCGCCAAAAATAGAAATGTGTGAATGAATGAATGAATTAAGCTTATCTTGAAAATATTTAAGAGTCAGATTACGGAACAGCTAAATAAGGTAATAAAAACAAAGAGGGCCCCGTAAAATTATTCCCGGGTATTGCACTCTTTCTTTCAATATTTTATAAAAAAAGAATCCATTAACATTTAATAATTATTAACCTTTTTCCTTGTTTTCTCTTTTAGGATGAAAATATTCATTATTTAATCATAAACTCCTATTTTTCAATTTTGATTAATCGAAATCTTTTCTTTTTTAGAAAAACAAGTAATAAGAAAATTTTCTTCTTTCCAACATTGTTGGAACCTGCATAAGATTTCAGGCCGGTATGAAATCTGTGCCAGGTTAGTGTCGATCACTATTATAATAGGAAGGGGTGATGTTTACGCGTCACCTGATCACGTGCAGCCACGAGTTCAAAAACACTAAGTATCTGAGGGACAATTTTTTTAGTGCCAAAATTTTATTTGTCACCACACTAACCTGGCACAGATTTCAGACGGGCAGATTTCAATGGGAACTGCGTGTCATACACGTAGGACAACTAAATTCGTAAGATCTGCTCATCTGCACGTTGTCTGATTATCCATTGATTGGTTCAATCTTCACAGATGTTGCGTGAAATTCAGCAAGTTAGATTACCAAAATCGTCAAGATCACGTAAAGGAAAAAAATATTTTTTCCCACAGAAAAATTTTTGAAGAAAGAAAAGAAAGGAGGGAGGAAATACGTAATAACAAAAAGAAAGTAAAAAGTAGGAATAAACGCTATACAATAGCTAAACCAAATATAAATTTATGTATTACAAAATATCTATTATTATCAAGGGTTCTCTTTCAAATAAAACTCGTTAAGGTGTGTCTATTTTTTCTCGTATAAAAATTATTTTAGTGATGGCAAAAGTTTTATCGAATAAATTTCGGACCGAATACATTATTTCGAGTTAACAACAGTTAAAAACTTCTTCGGATTTTTCAAAAGCGCACTGCGTCACACTAGTAGAAGCTGTCTTTTAATCTTTAGATTATCAATTATTACGCCAAGATTTCTAAAAATAATGCTCTATTCCCTAAATTGGAATTTTACCATGACTTTTTCTTTTAAAAAAATGTGATTTCTTCAGAAAATGTATTAAAAAAAAAAAAAAAAAAAAAAAAAAAAAAAAAAAAAATTTTTTTTTTTCAAATATTTTTTTTCCTTGGTTTTTTTTAAATAAAAGACTCAAAAAAATAAACTATAAGTAACGTATCAAAAAAACTATAGATAACAAATTTGAAATAAACGAACAAGTTCTTAAAGCACAAAAAATCGTAACGACATGCTAAAGAAGTTTTCCTTATGGCTATTAACTCGATAAAAAATAATCAATAGTAAGTAAAATAATTAATATAAAAAAAAAAATCTTTATGATTTTTAATATATTATTTTTTTAACATGAAGCCGTGAATAAGTTAACAGGTTTTGGTAATAATTATTATATAAAATATATTTAACAATTCAAGTATGAGACAATTACAGCTTTTAAAAAAGACATACGTCAAATATGGCGTATTTATGGAAAAACAAGTAGAGATTATTGGTTAGAACGATATGCTAGGCTCATTACCGATTGAAATAAACATAATATAAAGGTAATATGTCAAATACTATTAGTGAATAATTAATTTACTTTATATTGAAAAATATAGATGAAGATATAGCATTTAAATGATTTATATCATCTTTTTAAATGGCCGAATGTATATATCAATTTACTAAAAATAAAAATTTCTATTAATTCTACTATATTAGAAAACCAGGTCTTCGTGCAAGTCTAATAAAAAGACACAAAAGTTCACAGATATCGCTTCTAACATAATTTCTGTAATGGATTCAGACCATTAAGAAAGTTGAAGAAAATGAAGATGTTTAACAATGAAAATCAAAGAAGCTGTAAAGAAAGTAGCGGATACAACCACATCAAATATCCCGTCACGCTCGAATGTCTGGTCGCATGTCTCATCACGCTTATCCTCACCACACGTCTCATCATCACAATCTGGTATTTATCAATTTAATATAAAATTAAAGTTTATAAATTATCTAATAATAATTTATTTTTAAATTTAAACATAAAAATACTGTAGGAAACTTAACTTGCATCTATTGTAACGGTTTCCACTGGGTAGCTTACTGCGATAAAATCCCTCCAGAGTTTAAAGGTCACTGTGTTGTTAAATGCTGGTCCAGCAAATCTTACAAAGTGAAACTTGTAAAGTTAACGCCAGAAAGGAGCCATGGCTTTAAAAATAAATTTTTTTTTATTTTTATTTTTGTCCAATTGGGGTTGGACGTGTCTGATTGGGGTCAGACTTTTTTTTCATATTTTTTTTTATATTTTTTTATATTTTTTATTCTTTTTGTCCAATGGGTTTGGACGTGTCTGATTGGGGGGGTCAGACTTTTTTTTTATAATTATTTTATAATTTTTTATTCTTTTTGTCCAATGGGGTTTGGACGTGTCTGATTGGGAGGGGTCAGACTTTTTTTTTATAATTATTTTATAATTTTTAATATAATTTTTTAAAAAAATAAATTTTTTTATAAAATTACGTACTATGCATTACAAATGGTAATTTGAATAGACGTATAAAGTGTTAATAAATGTACCAAAAAATGTAGAGTAACGAACCTTATGTCAATCAACGCTACTTAAAAATATTAAACAATTCTATGGCGTCGTTTAAAAACACGTATAATAATGTATAAAAATGCATATATTGATGTTAAAAATGTGTATAGTGATGTTAAAAATATGTATATTGACGTGTCAGTAAACGCATTTAATGATGATTATACACATACATTAACACAGTAAGTACATTAGTAATAATATCAACAATATCTAATTAACAAAATCATTCGCATGCTCATCATACGATTCCACAACTCCTACATAAAATGAAAGAAGCAGATAATTAAGTTTCACAACATCCCATTCGTCTTATTTGTGAACACGGATTGGATTTATGAGGATCCGATTTTCTTTAAGTTATAGCACGTAAAGCGGAGAAGCTTTTGACGGTAAAATTATGCGAATTTGCATGATTTCAACTTCGACAAGGTCTTCCCCAAATTTGAATTTATATAACGTGAATGATTTCATGTCACACGGTGAAAATTACATATGCTGAAATATACTTAAAATAGTTCCTTTTCTATATATTTTCTTTTGTAATTTTACCTATATTCTATGCCACAAGTAAGTAACCATTTAAAATTCGTTTAATTTATGAAATTTTTATAAAATAGTGTGTCGTTATAATATAAAATTCGTTACAATGTGAGTCATTTTGTATATACTGTTTATACACTTTACTTCGTTAAACGGTGTACAGTATTAATTAGTAGAATTCGGTATAGTAAGATTTTTTTTATATGTCAAAATCCGTACACTTGTCAATACTGTTAGAAGTGGAATGATTCACACTATTCTAAATTGTTTGTAATGTTAATGATGTAAGTCTAAATTGTGGGATATATCACATTTCGTTTGCGTGGGCGTTTTTCGAGTTCTTTAGCTTCTTCCGGAGTGGAACCTTTGCAACGATAATGATCTGCGTTGATATCGAACAGGGAAAAATCGTGGTGTGTATTCTGATAAGTAGTAAGATCTTGAGCCATAGCTTCACGTAGATCTGCTCTTTTGACGGATGTGCCAAGCAATAATGCTTTCCGTTCTCCTTCTTCAATACGCCTTTGGGTGTTAACTTGTAGGTTATGATCATCTCTTAGTCTGCGTAGTTCGGCGTACCATTTATTACTACCAGGCTCCAAGAGAATTTTTTTTTGCGACTTTTTTGATATAGAGTTGACCGTCAACGGGTATAAAAGGCCTTAGGTCCTCTGGAATTTCAATTTTAGGGTTAGTTTCGACTATAGGTTCAGTCGAAATAGACTGAAACGGTACTTGATCGTAAGTCGAGACCGAAATACGAGGTGATCTGGTGGATCAGGTGCTAAAGTAATAGCAGGAGTTGTAGGTTTAGTAAATGTAGTTCTAGGTAATTTGAAATTGTAATCGTTCTCACAAGCGATCGGATTTTTTATATTTAAGATGTGTGATCGGTTTGTTAAGGATTTGTGAATTTAAAAAAAGGAAACGATGTTTTTGGCCATAGCCAATTTGTGTTCTACATCCATTAAATCGGGATTTGTGAGTATTGTAGGTGGAGTACAAAAAATACGTTTACAACGTCTTGCAAATCGAGCATGTTGTCATGAGGATTTAAACTATATGTAAGACGAAAATCTTGAAATCTTTAATGTTTGTTGTTGATTAAAAAAGAATTGACGTCCATTAGCCTGATATATGACTCTATAGGTGATGCCAAGGGATTCGCTATTTTGTCGTTAGTCGTAGCAGTTGACTTGGGTGGAATTTTCTTTTCTTTAATTATAGCGTTTTTTAAGAATTTCAAAAAGGTTTTGATGAGCGTGTCGGTCATGTGACATGATAAAAGTGCTGGTACACGTCCAGAACCACTAGTATAAGGCATTTTACATGGAACAAATATTCCAAAATAAAAACGATAACGTTTGTAGGAAAATTTGCGTTGATTGATAATCATAATACGTTCTAGTAGTTTCGATCTAATCATGTCGTAATAGCAAATGTATCGTTCTTATACGATCGGGTGCTATGTTCTTATACGACGTATATGTCACACAATATAGGTCGTATAAGATAGTATGTCGTACACGTATAAGAACGGCGTCGTAATATTTGAAAAGAAAAAAAGTACGTGAGCATTTTGCTTATTTGGCAATCGTTGGTGTGTATTCGCAAATGAATATCATTGGTGTTTGTAGAAGGATCAGCTCAAAAAAGAAAGCTCTTGATCTCACAGACCTTGTTATACAAGGTTTCGTCACGTGAAATTTTTTCAGGGAGACCAAGGAGGAGTTTTTGACGGGGAAAAGTGACGGGTTTTGAGAAGGACATATTATATTGTAAAAAATGTCAAAATTGAATAAATTTTGTAGAAGTTTAAAAAGGAAGGCTAAAACGACGCGAGAGGAAAAAAACTCTTAGTGTTATACTATGGATATTTAATAAAATGTGTGTTAAAGAAACTTCGTCCCATAAAAGGGGTATATTAAATTGGTGTTATAATATTCATGTGATATTGGACATTTTTATTGGCTGGATTTTGATCACGTGAGTAATTTTTCCAATTTATTTGATGGTATTCGGGTATGTAAAACAGATAATTATAAATGATGTTCACACAGGAAGACGGACGCGTCGGACGCTGGAAATCTAGGCTTACCTACTTCGAGAAAAACGAAACATGGAACCTGGCAGATTTTTTACAGTGGGGCATAGTGTATATAGAAAGCTTTGGTAAAAAAGAAGAAGAACACAGGACGTACAAGATCTGTTTAGAAAAGCTTGTCGAAAGTCCCCATTTAATAAATTCTCATGATAGTGAAACCGTTCAAAAGATGGCGTCACAGTGTTTAGAATCATTCGAGGTTAGAAACTTTTAATTTCTGTTTTTTAATGTGTTCATTTCGTTAGTTTTGGATCCGTAGCAGAGGCTAGGTCGCGTCCGAATATTTCTTAGTCGAGTCTAAGAAAGTGCCTTGTTATGGTTCCGTTATTAACTGCTTAAAGTGCTAGGTCGTGTCTGAATTCCCGATCGTCGAGTCGAAAGTCCCAGGGTTGCGTCCCATTGGGTATTCGGGTGCACTTTACTTTGGTTGCGTCCAGAAGTGTTATAGCAACAACTTTCTTTTTTTCCCCATACTTATTTAGCGAGAAAAGAATTTGCCCGACGTAGTAAACTTTTGGAGAGATAAATCTAAAGTCATGAAGACGATAAGAAAAGCATCTATTTTGAACTCCCAAAAGATAATTAATAATATGTTAGAGCTACATTGCGATTTTAATGAAGCACTAACCAACACCACTCGCCAGAATATAAAACCTGGTAATTCATATATATATTTCGTCTATATTACGTTACGTTATGCATTATATATTTAATCTTTTTTCTGTGATGCGGAATAATAGCCTTGAAGCGGAAGGAGGAAGAAACAATTATAGATGCTGAGAATTCGCTTTTTGTTTCTGAACTATCCGAACGTGATTCGAATGATGCAACCGTTAGTCAGGATGAGGTATGATTTTTTTAGTTATCAAGTTCGGAAGTCCTATTGTTTACATTAAATACTTAAATGATATTTGATTTAAAATCAATTATTAATATCTATTCTCCTCTATAGCTTGTACCGTTAAAGAATACTCACAAGCGATTATTCTCTGAGACTGGTGATGACTTGCCCTCATCCCATATAATATCAGTAATGGAACAATACCGTGTGAAATCAACAACCTCAAAATACGAGTAAGTTTTGTTATCCACCAAAGATTACGTTTATTGAATAATTCTAAATATGATTGTTATTTTTGTGCAGTCTTGTTCATAGCTTCATTTTAGACTTAACTCCCTGTTCACGGATAGAAAAAGAGTTCGAACCCGAATTTTGGGCTGAGCTTATAGCAGACCGACCACCTGCAGCTAATGCCAAATATTACGAAGAAATTGGAACAATTTGTGACCATCTGTTCGGGTCTGCCAATGAGAAGGTAAGGAGTAAGGTGACTAGGTGCATTTGGAAAATTCGAGCGGTATTGACCACAAATGTTGATATAGATAGAGGCGACCCAAACTACACGAATCCCGTGATAAATGGGAGAAAATAAGGGAGTTAAAAGCTCCAGAACATAATGATGATTTTTCATACTATGGGGAAGACTGGAAGAAAATCCTGTATTGGGTCGAACGTGCTGTCGGAACATTGTAAGTATCTTTTGAGAAGTCTGGCTTCCATTGAATGCATCATTTACCATCTCCATCTTTTTAGTTTAGATGCTTTTGAATCTGAATATAATCCGATTCAGCAAAACGATTGTGGAGAAAGAGAATGGTTCGGAGAATACGTTCTTCCTATTTTTCAGGGGGCTTTAAAATTGAACAGTTTCTGTCGTGTCCCTTGGTAAGTTTCAATTCTTCTAATTCTTCTCATTATTTCCATTCCCTAGACTCAAATATCTAAGTTTTCATGAATCACTTTTAGGGGAGAAGTTACGGTAGTCGCCAGTTGTCGAAGACGAAACGAAGATAAAAATAAGATAGAAGTACATCTTGAACGGGGACATCTAGCGGATTTATTATGTAAAATCGATCAGCAAGAAGTGGTTTGTGGGTTGGCATGTGGTGGCCCACATAAATATGACCTTACAAAGTGGGCATCCGATGAGTATCAACTACCAAGGATGCTTAAAGATACATTGGACGATATATTAGAGAAGTTTAGAGGTGCGGGTAGAAATTCATCAGATCTTTATACTATCGGAATTCAGGTGAGATAAGTCTTCAATATCTAATTGATCTTGCGTGAAATACTGAATTTTTGTTTTGATTAGCTATACATGGCAGAAATTCGAATATATGTGATGGAAAAGCGTGATGTGTATCGACTTCACCTCCTAAAATCATTAAACCTTCCTCTGTTACATTCATCTTATGGCAAACTACGTCTTGCACTTTCTTGGGCATGGAATATAAGAGTAAGCCTTATTTTTGCATTGTTTTGGTTTTTCTAGTGGATCACTGTCACTTATTGAGGGCATTTTCTTCTAGGGTCTTGTGAAAGAACTATCACTAAAATTGGATGATAGTGCAATTGTTTCCTCTAAAACTCCAGAACGAGATCCACCAAACGAAATGAAAACCACAAAAACGCCAGAGAAATCAAAAAAGAAAAAAATAATTAATATTAATTAATTCATAGTTAACGTTTATCACATTTTGTCAAATTTAAAGGACTATTATTTTTTTTATTAAAAATTCTGGTTTCTTATTAACATTTTTATTAAAAAAATTTGGAATTTTTTTCTTATTCCAAATACACATAAAGCGTTGCAACATCATTCTTAATAATTTTATTAAATTCATTGTTTAATGGTTTGGAAGTTTAAATAAATATAATTTTCTTTTAAATATACTTTTTTACCGAAGTACAATAGAAACATTAACTAATAATGTTTCTCTTTTTATTTGCAGATTTCTGGATTTCCAGGATTACTAAATGGTAAAATTTCGAAATTAAGAGATAAATCACTTTGATATTATTTAAATTTTGATAATTTATCACTTTTAAAATTACAAGATGGAAGAGAAGAAGAAATTTATATTTTGAGAGAAATTATGTTGGATTTTATTAAAGTGATGGATCAAAAATCACAAGTTCTAATAGGAAAGAAAGGTTTTGGGAATTATTACGTGGAATATACAACGATAATTTCAACAAGATTACAAATAAGAAAGAACATAATTTAGTTTTAAAAATTTATGGAATTTTGTTACGATAAAGTAAGATCAAAGGTGTGGTTAAAAAGAAGTGAATTTGTTGCTGAATTAGAAAAGGAACGGGGTTTGGAGAAAAGGGATTTAAGAAAAAGAAAAGAAATACCAACGAAAGACAAGGACGATGATACGGAATTAGATAATATAAATAAAATTAGTAACGAAGGATCGAATGATAGGTAGAATTACAGAAGGAATATCAATCAAAAAAGATTGGCATGCTATAGTTAAATTAGTTTAGTTTTTAGAATAGATTATATAATTTTTGTATTATTTTTTGTTTAATATTTTCTAGGTGTTTTAAAATTATGTAATCAAAATTATTTGTTGCTTAATTAATAAACGCGTTACTATTTTTTTTTTTTTTTTTTTAAAAAAAAAAAATAATTTATTCACTTTTTTGATATCGAAATTTTTTTTTTTTTCATACTTAAAAATGCTTAAATAATTAATTTTTAATTTGTTTTTTTTTATTGGATACGCAAAGTCCATCGAGAAGTATAGCATATATGATTCCATACTCGGATTATATACTGTATAGATAAAATATAGATTTTCATATTGTAATGACAAAATTATTATAGTATTTTATTAGATTAGTGGCGCAGTTTAATATTTCAGTATATAGTTTATTTTTAGTATTGTTAGTTAGAGGTGGTGGACTTGAAGGTCCGAAATTGACCCTAAACTAATAGTAAGTATATGAAAAAGATGTTTATTATAAGATATCTGAAGAGTGGTTTTAATGGATAGGATTAACATTTACTTATATATAGGCGAACCTGGGCAATATTTTATATTTTTACGCACTTTTATTACTAATAAAAATTATTATTTTACCAATAATTCGTGTAGGTCACCTGGTTGGCAAAGGACATGATCCTTGTGGGGTGGCCGTACAATACTCACATTATTCCAACACTATCATTAATTTTGCAGCATAAATTTATTTAAAAATGTCGTAATTTTTGTAGCACAATTTAGAAATTTAATGGCATTAATTTATTAATTTGTGGCGTCAATTTATTAATTTTATGGCACAACTTATTAATTTCATATTTAATTCATTAAATTCTCTGATGATAAAACCCGTATTAATGTATTATGAAACGGATTACTGTATTATTTTTACTATAGATTGTATATAATATAGGGATATTTTGCAAAGTCGCCCACATGAATGTATTCACCTTCGTCAGACCCACCCAATGACCTCATATCATCATCACATGAATAACGTACAGTATATCTGTTATACTTTAATGATGTAATTTTAGTATATTATTATATTTCGTTATATTATTAAGTTCGCATAATTGTTATTTTAAATCGGCTATCTCGTTATCTCATATTACTATGTATTAGCAAAATATTAAAATTATTGGATAGTAACGGAGTTTATTATAAAAAATTGCATGAACGGTCGATAATATTAATATTGGATGATTTAAACTATATAATAGTCTAATGCGGCACTACGTGACGCTATTAGACTATTATATAGTTTAATCATATATTTTTACTAATATTTTACCAAATTGTTTTTAAAAGAAATTTGTGGTTTTTAATAAGTTGTTATGTGATTTCGGCAAAGTGATATAAAGTATATCCACCTTACTGGGTGCACCAAGGTGCATTCACACTTGTAGAACACCTAAAAAAGGGTGGGTCAGAATGAAAAAAAAAACGAAATTTTCGATTCATTGCTTGAAAAGATATTGTTACATTTTGTAACCGATTTCCATTACTTTACTTGAAGATGATATCATGATATTGGTGCGCACTTTCTATATATCATACATAGTGTTGATTATCGTATTGGATCTGGTCACAAACGATTCATTCTGATTAACGCAATCATTAACAGCCTTGGAAGCGCTAGATCAAATTACTGAAAAGAAATACTGGATGAATCGATTGAATCGTCCAAATCATGTCAAAGAAATAGTTGAGGTTGGCATTGTCTTCTATAAAAAAAATAGCATTTGTCTCAGCCCGTTGTCTAAATCATACTTGTTTTTGAATAGGAAAAGGGAGATATTAAACAGAACGAATTAATACATGAGCTTTTCAACTCTGAAGGAGAGATGATGAAAGAATAGGAGCCATTAATGCACTGAAGACTATCCTGACAGATAATGCGTGACAAATGGAATTTTGCTACTAAAAAATTTTGTCCCTCACGCAGACACTTACGAAAAATGGCCGGTGATGAATACTTTTCCCCAGGTTTAATACGCTGCATTACTGCGTTTGTGAAATTAGTTTTTAATTTTATATAGCTTGCATACCTCATTAATCAATTTATTACTCATTTTTACATTGTGGTGGATTTATTAAATTAAGTAAAGAAAATAGATGAGGTTTTTTATTGTAATATAATTTGCTATAATTGCTAATTATATGGATCTAAATATACAGTAGGTTACTATGACAATTTTATTAATTTTTAAAAAGATTTTTCCTTTTTAAAAGTATGTATTTTCATTCCACTAAATATAAATTACAAGTTAAATAAGTTACAAATAACTAAATAAACTTTAATTATTGAAATAATTAAATAATTGAGATAATTGGAACGATCAAAAGAATTGATAATTCAGATAATTTGTCGGACTTTTAAAATTTTTGAATTTTTTTGGAGTTGCTTTCTGATTTCTTTTTTAATCTCACTGTTAATCTTGTCCATTATAAGATTACTTGTATAAGACTAGGAATAAGGTATATCTCAGCTTCTTTAGATTTCTCAATACTACTTGAATCTAATTTATCATATTGCAAATTTGTTTAGAACAATTCTAATTTGTATTAAATAATCATGCCTTTATCATTATTGTGAGTCGTTACTATATAATAATTTGGTGAAGATGAGCGTTACAGAATTTTATGCACGTAAATACTGGGATCATATATGGTCTTGTGAGAAAAATGGTCCTAATAATAAGGAAAGTGTATTGTTCAGAGAAAGCGTTGAGGAAATTTTCATGTGCGAAATGTTAGATGAAGACGGAGACGAAATCAATCGATTTAAATTGGATTTATTTAATATTGCTTCAAGTAAATCAAACATAATGATTCTAGACAATGTGCTTAGAGAAGTCACTAGAGGTATTATCAACGAAAAATGGTTGAAGATATGCATCAAGACATCGTTCAAAGCGATATTACGAGATATTTTTGATCTTTATATGGTCAAATTACAGAAATGTATATGGGAAGAACGATGTAATGATACGATAGAAATAGAAAAACAAATGGGTATTTTTAAAGAGCTTAAAAGGAAAAAGCGGGTAGATACAAGTGACAGTGCTGATGACGATGACGAAATTTTGGAAAATAAAAACAATAATAAAAATGATAAGAAAAAAATTAAAAAAATTAAAAATATGATAAAAATAGATTTAGAAAATAGTGTAAAAGAAGACGTATTTTGTTTAGGAAATTCTAATAGACATAGGATAGGTAATAATATTATTAGTAATTTGGTTAATACATAGTAGTTTTTAGTTTTAGTAGATAGTTTAATTTCTTTGGTTATGTTTATCCTCGCCTTGGTTAGATACCCCTTGGCTTTGGTATGAAGGGATTCAATTTTGTATGAGATTGAATTTCAATGTATTAATGTTATAATTATTATGTATTATGATGCGTTATTTTTACTAATAAAATAATTAAATACGTTTACCAAAAAAAAAAAAAAAAAAAAGAATTTTATGCACGTAAATTGGATTCACACATCCAATTTATGTCCGATTTGAAAAATCATAAATTCTGATCTAAATCAGAAATAGTATTTATATGTTTTTTTGAGCTGCTGCACCCCAAAATGGTAGTTTCAAAGCAAGAAAGGTAACGATAGATAATTATACAATTATGAAAATTATGAAGCGAAGGTATATAAAGGGACTGAAATTCGAAACATTTCTCTTTCCACTATATTAAAAAGTTGAGTAAAGATAAGACAATAAGTCGAGGGAAAGGAAGCAAGTGGTTGCCCAATGTAAATTACTGCCAACATTTCCAAATCCCTTGAGCAATATCTTAAGAAATACGTCAGTTTCAACTAAAACTTTGGCCAAAAATTGGGTTAGATGGGCCCATGTAACAGTTTAGCCACCAATGAATGTAAAAATCCCTTCCCCAATGCTTACTGTCGCACACAAACAAAAACGTATTGAATGGACATAAATAATGATTGGAGCAAGATCCTATTTTCTAACTCTTTCGGAATACTGTGAAGAATTGGCATAAAGAAATTTGGCCGGTACGTCCCATATCAAAGACAGAGCAAAAATTTTTGCATAGGGTGAATTTTGCGCAATGAGCAAAACTGAATTTTTACGGTGAAATCCAGATTGACCGAACAATGACCTGAAACATACAAGCCGTCTTGCTAAAAAAATTCCTCCCGAAACAATATCCTGGAAGTCATGGAATGGTCGGCAATTCCAGAAACCATGATAAAGAATCTTGCCGGTTCGATGAAATGACGTTGTGAGCTCATTATCAAAAATAATGGAGAATGAATCTCCTATTAAATTATATTAATAAAAAGAACAGGTTTCCAACTAAAAAAATTATATATATTTTTATATTTTCAACGTGAAGTATGTTATTCCGGTTTTTGTAACACTCTATATGTCTTTATCTGTTATTAAACGCCTTTAATTAATATGGGTATATTATTAATGTTTATGCTCGAATTTTAAGTTGCATGCTCGACAAAAATTAGAATAATAGGTAAATTTTAATTGCCGATTCGTCACTTAAATATTGTATTTATTATTTAAAAGATCTTTTTTTTCTAGATTTTTTTCGGTACGAAATTCATTCTTTGTTTGTGATTAGTCGAATTTTCATTTTTTAATTGTATTATCATGCGTTCCCCACACCTTTTTTCTCCTCTACGTTTTTTCTACTATACGCTTTTTAGACGATTTCTTCTGTTTTCTTTTGTTTGTTCTAAAGAATTAATATATATAATTTTTTGCATCTTTGTCTTTTCTAGAAATTAGAATAATAACGTCATTTTAAGCTATTATACAATTATTACCTAATTGGTGTAGTTATACTGTACATACAATACGTGACATATTGAATTTCAATTAATATTATTTTGAGCAATTAATCAAAATTTAGGTGTCTGTCGGTAGTATATGTAGACATACATTAATTGGTTTAAGACTATATCAAACCGTAATTCATACCTTTAAGAGTACCCATCAAAAACCCCTCTTAAAATTCAGATTCGTATGTAGAATATGTAGAATTACTTGCACATTTAATGGATCACATTTTTACAGGATGCAAGTTATGCGGTTGTGCCTTGGAGTATTATACTCTATAATTTTCTCGACGTATCTTGTGTAATGCGGTACGGTAATTCTATTACTCCAACTAAAAGTTACCCATAAAATTTCCAATTTGGCATCCCTACAGATAATAAAAAACATGATAACCAAGAAATTTCTTCTAAATTTTAAAAGGAGGACCACCTAGGGATGTTAAGGTCCGTTTAGGTTCGGTTTAAGTTCAAGTTCCGGACATTTATCAGCCTGAAAATTAATAAAAATTTTAATTCTGGTAACGAGTCACGTGACAATTTACTTTATCATCGATTATCATGTTTTTAATGCCCATACTTATCGATAATCTTTTATGAATAAAATGCTTCACTTGAATCTTTTTTAAGTGAATGTTTATTCGAAATATGAATTATGAAAGAAAAATTAAAGATATTAGATATATTTCATTCATACTGACCGAAAATAGAAATGATGAATGAATCATCTCTTTGAAAGTCAAAGAACTAAATTAGGCAATAGACAATGAGAGTCCAAGTTCCCTTAACTTAAGAATCTAAGAATTTTTTTCCTTGTTTTCTTATTCTAGTAAGAAAAACTTTCATCCAATTTTTAATTAAAATATATATATATACCTATATCAGATATCAGATATATCAGATATATATATTTAATACATTTTATAATATATATAAATATGTTATTAATCTTAAATTTAAAGAACGTTCCTGAGATATACGAAAATATATATATTATTCTCTATTCTGAATCAGATGTATTTATAAACGTTCATTCAAATAAAAAGATATTTATTTACTTACTTAATTAGACACGAAATTTCCCAGTTTCCAAAATCAATTAGTTCCCGATCCATTATCGTCGTCACTGTAAATAATCTTATTTATTTAAATGGTGTAAAAAAAATGAACAAATAAAATAAAATAAAATAAAAAAAATAAAATAAAAAATAAATAAAATAAAATAAAATAAATAAAATAAAAAATAAATAAATAAAATAAAATAAAATAAAATAAAATAAAAAATAAACAAAAAAATAAAAAATATAATAAAATAAAATAAAATAAAAATAATAAAAAAATAAAAAATATAATGAAAATAAAATAAAATGAAAATATAACAATATAAAATAATAAAATAAAAGTATAAATGTATAAAAAAAAATATACAGCAAGTTGAAATCAATATATCAACTAATGCTTAATACAAAATATTATTTAACCCTCTAGTATTTTAGAAATCTCAATATTTAGAATATTAGAACGCTCAAAGAAAGATTATTTTTTTAATGTCGTACGGTAATAAATGATGAAAGGGCTTGAAAGTTGAAAGGCAGATCATTCGTGGGAATAAAATATAAATACCTTGGAATTTTCCTTTTTTCTTTTTTCTTTCTTTTTTTTTTCATTATCTACTTTCTTTTTTAATCAAAACTCTGTTTTCAATCAATTTCGCTTACAATCAATAAAATTCTTTTCGTCATCATTAATATTTTAAGAAAAAAAATGAGGCTATTATCCGAAGAAGAAGTAAGTAAAAAAATCTTAATAATGCAACATTTCATTAAGAGTCAAAATAAAGATCTTTCGTTGGCAAATCAAATAGTTCGTACAAAAGTTATGCTACGTCTATCCAGTGTCTATCCTCTCTATCCAAATAATTACATTCTTACAAAAGATCAAATCAACCTATGACACGTTAAGTTCCGTTATTTTTCTATAATAAAAAAAATCACTAATTAGAAAAAAAATATTATATGTGTATTTTTTTTTCATAGAGGGATATTCTTTTAGATGGTATGGTTGAATTAAGACGAATTGGATGTCGTAACCCATTCGTAATAATGGCTGAAGTCTTACCTCAATTCAATGCTCGTCAACTTAATAACTACTGGCGTAACTATCTAGATCCTGAATGTGAGTATAAAATATTTTTTACCTGAATTTTTTTTTAAATAATATTAATGTTTTCTCCTTTTTCTTTCCTTATTAGTATGTTATTATGATTTGGATGATGAGGAAAAAACGTATATTGATGGTTGGATTTCACAAAATAGAATAGGAAATGGTATCATTGAATGGAAAAATCTACGACAAGATTTAAAAAATCAATATGGTTTTTTACGACCCGAGAATATGGTGAAAAATTACTGGTACTCAAAACAAAGACGAATTGTTGGAGCGGCTGGGATTGCTGGGGCGACTGGAATGACCGGAATTGTTGGGGCAACTGGAATTTCTGGGGCAGCGGGAACTGCTGAAGCGATTGTACTACCTCCCATATCTTTTATTTTGAATTTTCCCTTCGACCCTAATAGTCCTAACATGTGTGTTCTTCCGCCTATTCATAATCAACATCAAGGTGGTTTGGTATTACCAACTTTGCAGCCATATTTTTTTAAACAAGAAGAGTACAAATTCTTGGTCCGCATATAGAGTATATCGTAATTAATTTTACCACTACTAGTAGTTATAAACTTATAATAATAATAACAATAATAGTAATAATAATAATAATAGCATTACATAAAATTATTCATCCAAAAAGTAAAAAAAAAATAAAAACTTAAATTTTTTTGTACATACTTTTTCTTAGGAAACATTAATATTATTTATTTAATTACTTATACGCAAGAGTATATACAAAATGCTGTTTTTTAAAAATTCATATCATATTTATATTAAAAAAGTTTTGGTCTTATGATATATAAACAGGTCACAATAACTATCACAATATACCTAAATTGACAATTATTGGCTGATTATAATCGAAATGAGGTAATCATCAATGTTTATTGATAATAACAAATTATGAATATTATAAATAATGAATGTGCATTAAATCTTAAAAAAGAAATCTCTGAAAACGATAACCGAGGTCATAAGACTCGAAAAATTAATATAAAAAGTTTTTTTAAAAGACGCCAATGGCTTGAAATCATTAAAACTATTAATATTTATGCGTGAAAAAAATCATAAGGGATGCACGAGTAAAAGGTAGAAAGTAAATAGAATAGCACAAATTAGGAAAGTTAAAAAGAGGTCAATTCAAATAACACGGCTTCTTATAATTCCTATCTTCTAATCTATTGCTTTCGACTTTATAATTGCTCATTTTAGAAAAGCATTTATCAATATATATATGGTTAAAACTTTCTATTTTGATGATATATCGGTTTAATATATCGGATTTTTAATGCTTCGTGCTGATATTGAAATCCTAAATTTCAACTTCGAATCTGTTAAATCCGTTATATCAATGTAACATAAATGATTAAATGAAGTATCATAATAGTTCAAATGAATTTTTCATATATAACTACCCAATAGTAATGAAATTCTCTTTTTAAGCATTCATTTGCTTCGAGTATATATACTTTCAAAATATTGAGATTAAAAATTTTATTGCTTTGAGATCATTTATGAAAGTTAGAATCAAGTTCATAAAAATACTTTATACATATTGGTATAGTTCTGTTTACTACTTTAAAAATCGAAAATCTGACACCGAAACACGAAACAAATTTCGAATTTATGATTATGCATGTGTCTTTAGATGTATTAAATACCGTACCTAAAGTTGGTTGCCGTAAGTAACGATTATTATATATCGAATTACAAACTTTAGCGGTTGTGATATTATAAACGTAAGCTGTAAATTGGCATACACTATTAAAAGGTGGTAATTTTGATTTACAACCATTATATTTACTTGACTTTTGGACTTACAAATATTTACGGAGACCAACACTACCGTACACTGTATTTTAATGGAGAAAGATGCGGAAATGAGAGATTTATGAACAATATACTCGGACGATAAGCGAGCCGGCGGAGTTATCTAACACTTAATTACTTCACCCTATGACCGTACACAACCTCTTTTCCTCTTACCTTTTAATAGATTGTTCAAACATCAATTTTCTTATAACTATAATCCAGATGATGGTCCAAGAAATTGCAAAGTACAGAAAATCACATGATCTTGTAAATCATTACCTATGAAATGTGGCTTGAAACTCTTGAGCCACATCCACTAATAAGATCATTTGTCGTGATTGATTCAAAAGATGGAATGCATTAAATGCATGAATTAAATGATTTCAGTTGTACTGTGCTTTAACTTTAAATCCTAATCAAATAATTCATTCATGCTAAACAAATAAAGAAATCAGTGAATGAAAATCAGCCCTTTGAAAATCTTAAAGAATGGAATTTAGCCGGTAACGCAAACAAATGATACAAGTTTACATAATCCAATAAGGCAACTAAATAATGACACTGTTCCTATACAAAAATGAAAATTCAATGACTCATAATGTATTCTTTTTCTTGTTTCCTTTTTATAGTAGAAAAACATTTCAATAAATCTTATTTCAGTTTTTATTAATTTAAAATCAACAAAATCTTTTTTTTTTTTTTTTTTAAAAAAAAAAAAAAAAAAAAAGAGATTTTATTGTAAAGAAAAAAATAGAATTTTACTTATCCGTTTTCAAAATGGCGTATTCTCAAAACATATCTGAATGAAAGGAAAATGGAAAGTTTGAAATTTGAGAAACCGTGATTTCTAATTAGAAAAAAAAACATTGAATTTTTTTAAAAAAGGAAAAAGGAGCTTTTATGATCAATTTTTTTTAAACTAATAGAATAGAAAATTAAAGAGATTATTATTATTAATATAAATTTAATTATTTTTGGATTATAAAGGGGACAAAGTATGGAGACAACAAAAATTCGATGTTTTTTTTTGTAAAAAAAAAAAAAAAGAAATTAAATAGTATTTATTTCTAGGGAGTTATCTAAAAAAAAAAAAAATTAAATGGTATTCAAAGGAGAAAAAAGTGGGTTCTTCCCCCAAAGTTCTTTGTAACACTTTTTTATTATACCTGATTATATCCCGTTTTATTGTATCTTTTTTTTTTTAAAAAAAAAAAGAATTTTTTTTGTTTATGCAATAAATGCTATTCAATTTATTTTTTTGGGGAGAGAATAACGTTATAAATGTATATATTTTTTTTTATGATAAACGTAATTTATATTATTTTGGTGAAAATTAATGTTCATTTTTATTCACCATTCATTAAATAATTCTTTTTATAATATTTAATTGTATGATGCAATTTTTAATTATTTGTTGAACGAAAAATTTATGTTTATATTAAAATATTTATAGTAAAACAAAAAAAGATTTTGATGGTGCTATTAATCAATCAACCGCAGTGTTTTTTTTATTGTTTACCCGCAATAAGTTGTTTAAGTAATACAAGATTATCATTTACGTGTGTCAATTTCATTATGACTAAATTTGGCTTTCGACCGAATATATTATAAAATTAATACTGCGTAAAAAAAGTAGAATTCTGGATTACATTCCTGTTCTAAACATTCTAAACATTCTAGTAAAAAATGCTACCAAAACATTTACGCCACACCTTATAATGTAAACGTCTTTTGATACATAAATTTTAAATTATTAAAATAAATCAAAAAAAGTTTTGACATAATAATATTATAAAAGTAGTGTGCCCTTTTAATCGGTCCCATTTTTGGAATCTCTAAACTGGTTTTTATTTTTAAAGTGTTTTCGTGCAACAACCAAAAAAGCTATATATTTCAAATATTATTCGTGGGAATCTAAAAAAAGTTACGATAAGCTAACAATATAAGTACTTTGGAATCACCAAAGATTATTCTTTTTTTTTAAAAAAAACCCCATTTATTATTATTAATTTTGGTTAGCAAATTTTTCTCTCTTAATTCACACTCGCTTATTATCATTAAAAAACAATAATCTCTCTCTTTGAAATAATAAACATGAAAGTAGTTCTATCTGAAAAAGAAGTAAGTAAGAAGGAAAATGAAATTTTATTAATAAGTTAATAATCATCCATCACATATATGAAACATATATGAAATTACAAACCTTTCTTAGTCATTTCTTAGTCATCAGGGCAAAAGAAAAAATAAAAAATAAATAGAAGTATTATATAAATTTTGAGAGCATTACATAATGTTTATCTGTCCATCCAAAATATAAAAAAAAAATCTTGGGCTGCTTATTTTTTACTAGTGAACTATTATTATTATCATCATCATCATCATCATCATCATCATCATTATTATTATTATTATGTATTATATGTTATTATTGTAACTATTATTATAATAGTTATTATTATATTTTTTCGCCAAGTAGATTTAAGTCCTCGTATTTTTTCTTGAAATCTAGCCTTTTTTTGACAAAAAAATTCTTGTAGATCCATACGCTAATTTCATTAAAATTAAATTATTTTATAGAAAAAAACTTTTTTGGATCAAATGATCGAATTGAAACGCAATGGATGTCGTAATCCATTTGTAAAAATATCTGATAGTATCAATTCTATTCGAAAACAAGGTGATCCATACAATGCTCGTCAACTATGTCATTTTTGGCGTAATTATCTGGACCCTGATGGTAAATAATATCTTTTTTTTTTTTTTCTTAATAAAGCTTTTAAAATTATTTCTTCTTCCTTCCAAAGTGTGTCAAGAAAATCTAGATGATAAAGAAAAAATATATATTGATGATTGGATTTCACTCCATAAAAGTGAAGATGGAGGAATTGTATGGAAAAAACTACGGCAAGATTTGAAGAATCAATTTGGACCTTTTCGATCTGAAAATAAATTAAAAAACTACTACTATTCAAAACAAAGAAGTAAAAAGGGGACGAATAATGGCATTGTTATTCCATCTCCGCCTGAAACTATCGACATTTCCATTCCCACCACTCCCACCACTCATTCTTACCTTTTTAGTCAATATCAACCTCAAAACAGAGAGCCGTTACCTAACATTTCTAATATCTTTAATTATTATCATAATGACTCTCTGGCCCTTCCACGGCTTCTTCATTACCAGCAGAATCTTTCTGCCTTACCTACTTTATATCCAAGTTTGATACAAGAACCCAAATTACCCGAATTACCGCCCAACATATAGACGGGTTAAGAATATATTTGTTGTAATTATATATATATATTTTTTCTTATTTATTTTTATGTAACATATGATGTTATTCATGATCATCTTCATCATACTTTTCATTTTCACACTTTTCTTTTTCATATTTTTCTTCTTTGGTATACTTCTTTTTTGGTGGTATGTATTTAAGAAAAAAACAAAAAAAAATCTATAGAAAGGTTATACCTGACAAAAAAAAAAAAAAACATTTGTATTTGTATATAGAGATAATTAATTCTTTCAATAAAAACATTCAAGTATATATATTATTATTTTTTTGCAGTGAATTTTTGACGATGGATTTTGGGTAATTTGGGTAAGTTTATAGTTTGTTCATGATGGACGAATTTTATATTAACGAGTCTGAGGTTGAGGGTTATATATAATTAAAATTATCGTGATAATTTGATCTTATGATCTGTAAACAGAATACAAGGATGCAAGTCGAGTAGCTCTATACTAAAATTGTTATTGTTCCCGTAAATTTGGGGTCCTTTCACGTTGAAAATTTATTAACCGTAGTAATTTTGTTCATGAGATTGAGTCTCATGATCATGTTTTTATTTGTAGAACATCAATAGAACATCATATGATCAATAAATACTTCGTACAAACAAATTTTCATCAAATCGTCAATGGACAATAATACTGTATATGTCGGATTTTTATCGATATCAATGAATTATGTGTTCCAATTACAAATATTTTAACTTTAATTGAACTTATTGAACGTGCTCTCAACGTGCTAACTAAAGAGAATATCGATTCGTTTTTTACTTTTTCATATATGTTATATTGAAATAATGTATTATGTAACACCAATTTCTTTATATGTATATTAAGTGAGTAACGTATTAAAAAGATTCTTTTACGAAATTTATATATTAATGAACTTTAACATATGTTTTTTTTAGCATATATAATTATTTCTTTTTTCCTTCTTTAAAAAAGAAAAATGGGTCATCTATTAGCGAGTCTTATATATTATTTTAATTATTAAGAAAATTATTAAAAGTTATATGAAAAAAGTGGTGAACATCTTAAAGATCTTTATGCTAAATTGATTCCATTTACGGCTAGGCAAATTTGCGTTCTGTAAAATCCCATCTTTGTCGCTCGAGCCAATCCGTTATCGTAATTTTATCGTAATCTTTTTTTTATCGTAAACGTAATATTTTTATAATATGTAATTCTTCGCCGTACGTATTATTTTTATAATATGTAATTCTTTGTCGTACGTATTATTTTATAATATGTAATTCTTCGTCGTACGTAATATTTTTATAGTATGTAATTCTTCGTCGTACGTAATATTTTTATAGTATGTAATCCTTTATTTCTTTCTTCTTGAACAGTTGATCATCCTCCTTCTTCATTAACGGTAAATCATGATGTTTTTCTAATGATGAGAAAAGGTACTATACATTGATTACTGGGTTGGAACTGGAACCAGTCGATTGTACCATTCATTACCATTCATTGGAAATTTTGTCAACATGGTATGAGTACTGTATCATTTTTGGTAACATTCATCTACTAATAAAATCAAAAATATGTGGAATTCCGAACAATCTACACAATCTACACAACGTACAAGTTAGATGATGTATTATTCGTAATATAATAATAATAATAATTGATTGAAAATGTGTCAGAAAATTTTACCTATCTTTTAAGATGAGAGATATTCTTGTTTTAATATTACTAAAAAAAAAAAAATCTTATGAAGCAAATGAGGAATGTTGTCACATGGATTATTTTATAATTGTATGAACGTAATTACAAAAAAAATATATGATTTCTTTCTTGAATTTCTATTTGGGATTTCTTTTCGTTATACGAAGTAAGAAAATAATTTAAATAATTAGGTTACTATTATTTTATTTCATTAATTAACAGCTTTTGCATTCCCTTCTTTTTCTTTTAGTTGAAAGTCTCTTAATTTTGTTGCAATAGAGGCAACAGTTCGAAATTTTCTTTAACAGCAATCAACTGAAGTTGTTTCTGTATAGTATATAATACCGTGATTTAGCGTGAATAACGTGATTAACTGTATTACGTATTTTTTTTTAGTATATTATATTTCGTCACATATGATTTTATGCTGTCTCATTTAATAAATTATATGATATATTTATTGGTTTAATTTTAAATTTTTTTTTATTATCCAAGCGAAACGTAACCGGTTGCACGCTGCGTCATGTCTATAAAATAATGTACAAATTACAAATTGTCACTCATAGTTTTTAAAAATATAACTATTTGTTAAGTATGACATATCGTAATTGGTCCAAACGTATAACAGATAAGAATATACTTAATTCTATTAATATTAAGCGCAAAAATTATATATAAGAAATTTATAAAAAATTTTTTAGAATGAATGTATAAATTTGACTTTCTTCCGTGGTGCTTAAATTATAAATTCTATATTTACGGAGAAACACGGAATCACGGAATAAAACGGGTATTATAACAATAAAAACACAAAATATTTGGTGTTCCATTTAAAAACTAGTGATATGCATTTGGAAGATTGGAAGGGACTTGGAATGTCAAAATGCTTCAATATGACCTTCCTTTTTCGATGATTACGCCATGATCAGTTATGTTTTGAAGCAAATTTAAATTAGTTCAATCTTTTATATTATCTAAGGATTTTTTTTTTTTTTCCGATGTTCGTTCTGTGAAAAATGAACGAAATGAAGATTGATAATATTAATTCATATGTATGCCTTTAAAACCTTGTGAGGACTACTATTAACTCTTTCTGATATTTCAACGAATATAACGAATGTAACGATCGTTATTTTTAATTTTTAGGAGAAAGAAATAAAATATAAAGAGCCACTTAGTAAGTTAATTTATATTTGTTTCATAAAAAAAAAGTAATAAAATTTAAATCAACTTCTTTGTTTAGTCAGACAAGTTAATCATGGTCCTTTCTCAGATGATGAGAAAAACTACATTTATGAATGGGCTAATAATCGAACAAAGAATTGTGACGCGATTCGATGGGAATTTTTACAAATAGAAATTCAAAACAATTTTGGTAAATTCCGGCTGAGAAATGATCATGGAATTGTAGGAGGAGATATATTTCACGGAAATCTACTGACGAAATAACATTATAATTATCTTCAATATAACGGATAAATAATTTTAATCTTTGATTTTACTTCAATTTATAGATATCTCTGGCCTTTTATGTTTGGTGATTGAGCAATATTTTGATTTATTTTTTTTAATTTTTATTAGTGTTTATCCTGATATCCGATCCGAATAGATCCGGATATCCGTTTATATAACTGAATAAGCTATCGGGTAAACCCCAACGGATAATTGTAACAAACGGATATCCGGATAAAATTTCATTAATTAAATTTGGATTAAAGATTATTATATTTTGGTACCATCATAATATATCAATTTTCTTTAGATATTTTAAATTTTAAATTCTCGCAATATGAATGAGAGGGGTAAAAAACGCGAAATTTCACTAATACAAAATTTATTTTTTATTAAAGATTAAATTAGTGAAGTTAGATGTATGATAATACATATTATTTTAACTTTCCATTTTCTTAGAAAACAAAAAAGGATTAACTTTATAAAGCGAAGTTGAAGTTAATATCGTCGATGATGTCGGTATTATTTATTTTCAATTTTCAATTTTTTTTTATGATTGTAATTTTTACTTGGTACAAACTAATGTTAATATTTTCATATATATCAGGCAACGTTGTTTATTATAATAAATCAAAATATTATTGCACCTGGGTAATATGTATATATTTTTAACTTTGTAAATTGTTATAACGCAAAAATAATTATAATAATTATTGAAAAATTTATGGTTTCTACAATTATTTTAGTCGGTATACTTTCCTTGTCATCTGACTTTGTACTCTATTATATGTACTGTAAATCTCATTCATGAGTTACTATAATTTCGTTTATTTATTAAAATAACAAACTTGTTTTTAATATATCACACAAATATGTTATGTTCCTTGATTGTACCATCGATTGAAAGCCATTCTTCCTTTTCGGTGATTACGCCACATATTATTAATAAGTTCATTTAAGAGTTTCCAAAAATCATTATATTGAGTTCAAATGACTACAGTATTATTAATACGAGATATATTAAACTTACATTTTTCCGTTAAATCATTATTAACAAAATAAATAGAAAGTATTAAAGTATTTATTTACATTTCGAAACTGTAATTGTATAAATAAAATCGATCAACTAAACGAAATTAATCCATTTACAAGCTAGTTAAATTGAAATTATAATACTTTTATTTTTTTTAGTTAAAAAGAGACAATGATATATACAAATTATTTAGAAACATTTAGTAAGTTAATTATACCATTTATTTATTTTCTAAAAGAAATTAAATTAACTTCTCTTATTCTGTTTAGTCAGCCAAGGCCCATTCTCAGATAGTGAGAAAGACTACATTTATAAATGGGTTAATAGTCAAAAGGATTGTGACGTAATTCGATGGGAATTTTTACAAAGAAAAATTCAAGAAATCTTTGGTATATTCCGTTTACGAAATGATCTTAAATACCAATGGAATCGTAAGAGAAGACAAATTTCGCGGCAATGCGGTAATACTAAAGTACTTTCTACTCTTAATGAAGTTGATGAAAGAACACCACAATCTAACCTCACAGTATGTTAATTAAAGTGATAATATTATTCATTCATTCATTTATTTATTTCAACGATAATAACGATTGTTATTTTTAATTTTTAGGAGAAAATAGATCCACCTGGTAAGTTAATTTACTCATAGACTTATTTATTTATTTATCTAAAAAAATTTAAATTAACTTCTTTTCTTTCCGTTTCCTTCTGTTTAGTCTGCAAAGTTAATCATGATCCATTCTCATATAGTGAGAAAAGCTACATTTATGAGGATTGTGACGTGATTCGATGGGAACTTTTACAAAGTGAAATTCAAAGAAAATATGGTAAATTACGAAATGCTCTTAAATCCAAATGGAATCGTAAGAAAAGAGAAATTTCACGGCACATATTCTTTCTAATATTATAACTTTTTCAATGAATATGATAACAATCTAACTTCAAAATTAACTTAAATTAAATTTAAAAAACTTTTTATTTACATAACGACAAAACATGTAATTAATATTTTTAATATTTAAAATAATAAAATTTTTTTCGAACTTTTTTAAATTTCATTATATTATTGGATCGATTTTTATTATTTGACCGTAAATTAACGAAGTAAATTTTAATTGAATATTAAATGTTGGACCAAAAAAAAAAAAAATTTTAACAATAATGAGATCGAAAAGGATTTTAGGAGAAATAGATCCACTTGGTAAGTTAATTACTCACAAACTTATTTATTTATTCATTCCTTTTTTTTCTGTTTAGTCAACCAAGTTAATCATGGCCTTTCTCAGACGGATGGTGGGAAAAACTACGTTTATTTATGAGTGGGTTATTAGTCAACAAAAAAATTTTATGGGAAATTTTACAAAGAGATATTCTAGTGGATTATGGTAAATTCTACTTGCGAAATGATCTTAAATACCAACGGAATCGTAAGAGAAGTCGATTTCACGGCAGCCTAGTACATAAGTTCTTTCTAATCTTAATTAAAAAGCTGAGGAAGTATAAATAGCTTTAATTTTGATTTTATATTAATATATATAATATGTTCATTTTGTGATTGGTCATTTATGTTCATGATTAAACATTATATTCTTTTTATTCTTTTTAAACGATAATAATTTTATTAGCGTTAACATTTGGATAATACTTATAATAAACAGATTGAATAATGATCCGCCATCCCAATAACTATTTATTATTTTATTTCAGTACCACCTTAATATTTTCTTGAGACATTTTTAAATTTTAGCAATCTGAATGAGAAGGATAAAAAATGCGCGCGATATTAACCAACATAATAATTAAATTGTTTTTATATTAAATTAATGTTAGACGATACTATTATTTTAACTTACTGTTTTTTATGTTGTATTTCTAAATTTTCCACGATGATTTTCTAGAAAACAAGAGTTAAGTGAAATTGAAGTATTAATAAATATATAAATATAATCATCAATTATGTACTATATGTCGAATATTATATATTTTCAATTTTAATTTTTTATATTGGTAATTTTGTACAAATTATTAAATGTCGATATTTTATTAAAAATTACCGATAATTTATTAAACAACGTAGATGAAAATGACTTTTGTAATAAATTTTCATAATTAGTTTAATTAATTTCAAAAATTTATGGTTTCTAGCCGAATATACTTTCAATAGCCACCTGACTATTAAAATCTCATTCAGGAATTACTCATAATTTACTAGTTGATTATTGAAAGTAATGAAAGTAATAAAAACCTGAAATATTTGTTATGTTCCTTGATTGTACCGTTGATTAAAGTCATTCTTCCTTTCGGTGATTACGCCACATATAATCAATAAGTTCATTTAAGAGTTTCCAAATATTGTTATTATAATTTTATTGACTATTATTAATATGAGGTACACTATAAAAAATTTTTCAGAAAAATTTGATCACATGTCTGAGTTTCTTCGGAATAAAAACTAGAAAAAAAATTATCATTTATCGATTTTTCCGTTAAATCATTTACAAATAAATTATCAACAAAATACGTTTTTCATTTCGAAACTGTAATTGTATAAACAAAATCAATCAACTAAACGAAATCAATCCATTTACAAGTTAGTTAAATAGATGTTATGATACTTTAATTTTTTTTAATTAAAAGAGAAAATGATTTATTTAAATTATTTAGAGCCACTTAGTAAGTTAATTATCCCATTTATTTATTTACTTATTTTTTAAAAGAATTTAAATTAACTTTTCTTATTCTGTTTAGTCAACCAAGTTAACCATGGTCCATTCACAGATAGTGAGAAAAACTACATTTATGAATGGGTTAGTCGTCAAAATGATTGTGATGTGATTCGATGGGAACTTTTACAATATGAAATTCAAAAAGAATATGGTAAATTCCGTTTACGAAATAATCTTAAATACCAATGGAATTGTACGAGAAGACAAATTTCGCGGCAACATATTCTTTCTACTCTTAATGAAGTTGATGAAAGAACACCACAATCTAACCTCACAGTATGTTAATTAAAGTGATAATATTTATTCATTTATTTATTTATTTCAACGAGAATAACAATTGTTATTTTTAATTTTTTTAATTTTAAGAGGAGAAAATAAATTGTATGGATCCACTTGGTAAGTTAATTACCCATAGACTTATTTATTTATTTATCAAAAAAAATTTAAATTAACTTCTTTTGTTCTTTCCGTTTCCTTCTGTTTAGTCTGCAAAGTTAATCATGATCCATTCTCAGATAGTGAGAAAAGCTACATTTATGAAGACTGTGACGTGATTCGATGGGACGAAATGGTCTTAAATTCCAATGGAATCGTAAGAAAAGACAAATTTCACGGCAACATATTCTTTCTAATATTATACTTTTCATGATGATCACAATCTAATCTCTCAGTATGTTAATTAAAGTGATAATATTTGTTTATTTGTTTATTTCAACGAGAATAACAATTATTATTTTTAATTTTTAGGAGAAAATTTAATTTATTCAAAAAAAAAAAAAAATTAAATCAACTTCTTTTGTTTTTTCTGTTTAGTCTGCTGGAAATTTTTACAAAAAAAAAAAAATTAAATTAACTTCTTTTGTTCTTTCCGTTTCTTTCTGTTGTCTGATGGAAATTTTTACAAAGAGAAATTATTATAAATTCCGTTTACGAAATGATCTTACATACCATATATATATTATATATACCATAGAATCGTAGGGGAAGATAAGTTTCACGGCAAAATTCTCTTGATGGAACTGATTAAAAACGTTACAATTAATTTCATAATTGTCAATTGTGTAAAATGCTTATTATTTATTTATTTTTTGATTAAACAATATACTATATTTATTTGGTTTACTTCTATTAAAGATAATTATTTCGTGTTGATGACAAAGATAATACATACATGTTTTTCCAATTGAGAGTTTCGATCCGGATATCCTATTTCATTTAAATCAAGTATGGATTTAAGGTATTGAATAGATTTCATTATTACTGGAATATTCATAGTATTATCTTTCTTAATATTTTAAGCGTTCTTGATTTCGCCGACGAAATTTACCTCGATTTCTTGGAAGACAAAATAATTAACCTTAATTTTTTTTACAAAATGAAATTTCGATATTAAAACTTACCAATGGGAATAGAATTATAATATTTTTGTTTAAGAATTTTAATTAATAAAAAAAAATTAATTAGTAAACCATATAAAGACTCGGACAATTTTATTATGAAAATTGGGGATAAGTATAATGTAATAATTTTTATAGTCTTGAAATCCAAAATTCATAATAATATAATATTAAAATTAGTAACTTTAATTTGTAAATTTCATGAATTTACTATGCACTTTTGATTCCATTTACTAATAAAATTCATAGTAATTTGCAATTAATGATTAATATATAATTCCGTCTAAATATCTGAGTAATAATAATATATACATATAATAAAATAATCCAGTGCTGTCACTATATTTAAGAAATTATATTTTTTTGGTTTTTCATATTTAGTAGTTGCACTATTTAGACGGATTTATTTATAAGGAATTGGATTGTATGTTTTCTTTTATCCTCAATTGAGTCAATTACATATTCAACATCGGTTTTATCATATTTAAGTTCATCCTCACATTCACATTCACCTTCATTTTTATCATCTTCCTTTTTAAGATTGCTACTTTTAGCCTCAAGTTGTCTTTTTTAACGTTCCAAATGTTTTTGAGTTCATTTCTCGCGCGAAATTTACCAAATTTCGTTTCCAACTTAACTTGTAAAAGCTTCCATTGAATATTACCATTTTCTTGATATTTACTTGCCCATTCATAGATATGATTCTTCTCTTCTTCAGAGTAAGGTGTATGATTAACTAAAATAATTAAGATAAAATGTTAATTTAATTCTTTTAAAAAAAAATACAGAATTTTAAGACTTACGGCGTGGATCAAGGATATTCCACCAACTAAAATTTATAATGTAAAAAAAATTTTAAATTTTCTTTTTTATTTTAAATTAATAAAATTATCCATAAAAATTACTTACTAATCACAAATTGCTTTTGGTTCAAAATTAAGCTTGTGCTCGTCTCTTAATTTTATAGACAATTCTACAAAAGGTGTTTTAATTATTTTTCCTTTTTCTTCCCCACTCGGTCATATATTTTTTTATAGTTTCTTTTCCCTACAAATAATTTAATTAAATTTTATGAAATTCGAATTTCATATTATAAAATAAATTTAATTTGACATACGTCCGAATTCATTGTTTTATATATTTTGTTTCTCTTTATCGATTTTTTTATAAATTTCCCCATTTTGTATGTATTTGCAACACTTATACAGTATTAATAGAACTTCTTTAGCGTTTGATATTCTTTAGTTATTTCAATTTTACTTGTTTATGAGAATGAAAGCGCCTTTATATAGAAAAATTGTTGCATAATTTTCGTAATAAACATTATGTAATTTATTCTGTTTATTTACATATTATAATGAGTCCCTATAAGAAATATGTATACGGAAAGGATACGTTTTGTATACATTTTATGTACATTTCTATAGATTCCGTATACAAATTCCGTATATTTAATTAGCAATTCATTTTTGAACATTTTTTAAAAAAGCTAATGTATACGAAATGTATACGGAAAACGGAATTTTTAAACTTAATATTTTTAGAAGATAATTTTACAAAAATCCGTATCATAACACGAGATCACGTGATTGTTTATTGTTTTGTTACAAGATTAAACGTGAAGGGGAATGGATCGGGAGCATTAGGGAAACTTATAAGAAAATAAAAGATAATAAAGATACTCGAAAAAATAACTAGTTAAATTAGTATAGTTCGCATTTAACTCGTAGCAATTATTATTAGAGTTACTTTGTGTATTAGTAAAACTGTCTAAAGCCATATTATTAATAAAAATATACGAGCACGAAAACAAAGTTCACAATATGTAAATACGATTAATATAAATTTTTCATTTTTTTATTTCATATAAATTATACATTGTATCACATTCATTATCATACGGGAATAATCTATCCGATCACAAGTATAAGTGATAGTATATTTGGTAACAAAGCAACAAAGCGTTATTATTACATCATAAAATAAATTTGGGAGGAATATTAACCACTTTCTGATATAAATTGCAAAGTGAAATTTGGCTTTTCTTTTTTCAGTGAATCCTCATTATATCATTTCTGATGTAAGTATCAGCATAGACTGTGGTGAAGCTATTCACAGTGTTGATGTCAATAACAAGGATTATTTGCAATCACATAAATATCGTAGATATCTAATATTTAATATCGTTACTTCGTAGAATCTCTGGCTACATTCGTACAAAAAAAAATAACGTGTCTGTAATGGTATAAGATGAATCGCATGCTTGACTCTTTGAGCCGATGTTTTAACCTAAAGTTTCCCACTAGAGGCAAGCACAGAAACAAACAGCGATGGACTTCTAGCGACACAATATTTTTTTGTTCAATCATCGTGACATCATTCAAAGTAAGTATTCTGTCAAAATTAAGAGCAGTAAATGAAAAAACCAGACAGGTAAAACTTTATTTATTTCCAAATACGACGTCTTACATGTTTGCGAGTCATTAATAGCCAGATTATTTCATTTTCTGTTATGTTATATGTCGCCAAGTGTTTTTGTATCATATGTCTAGTCTTGTTAGTTTTCAGTTATAATACATGTTATCCGTATAATTGCTAATTCTGTTTATTATGAAAATACCTGACCTCTTTCGAAAATGGCTCTAATGTTTAATCACCACTATCGTGAATCCATGGAAAAAATATTTGCAACTAAATGCTTACCGATTGAGAAATGGGGATAAATCATATGTAAAACCACCACTCTTGCCACTTGTAGACATTCCTTATTTAAATAGTTGTACAATGAGTGTGCGATGTGTCCCATAGGCAAAAGTATCGGACTTGACCCGCGACGCGGTGCTAACTTGACCTCCTGCATGCACGTTGTCGATCCTATTCATGGAGTATTGTAAAATATATGTGATCGACAACGTGCATGCAGCGGGTCAAGATGACACCCCCAGAAGGGTCAAGTCCGATACTTTTGCGCCCCATAGATGTATTGCAAGAAATGCGGGCCAGTGAATACCCATGAGAAAGGTCCAATAATTTGCCAAATAACACGTTTTGTGTTACACATTCCGAAAGATCCCATGTTCAAATAACAAAATAGCTAACCGCTCGACACTCTTGTCAAAAATGTCATAAATGTCATGATATTTAAATGGAGATGGCTATTTAAATATCTCAGGGTATTTTCCCGAATAATACAAAAGTTGTATGGGATTGCTAATGTACGGAACGGAAATCACTGTAACTTTAAATTGCATTTTGTAAATAAAGTAATTTAAAAATATATATATATATATATTTTTTCTTAATTCCGCAAATCCGCCCATATGGTAATACAATATATTTATTATAAAGCAGTATATAAAACTATCGCATCTCGCGATCTTTACATTTATTCTTTAATTTTTATCATACGCATATATTTCTATTTTGTTTATAATTCTAGGTGATGATTATACATGTCAATATCATAAAATAATAAACTCATACTACTAATGAAAGTTCCAAAGGATGGAAAGCATTAAGAACCACGTTAATTGGTGAGCCCACACAATAATCCAACCCTCTTATTATTATTGACCCATGACCTAATGCTAAGACATTCCCATCAATATCGAACCATGCACATCCTGAATCTCCTTTACTCATGAAATTTATGAATGTGCCTTTTATAGCCTTTACCAATATTTGTCTGTCAAGCCATATATCTTTGTTTTTGTCGCCCTCCATTAAAACATCATGGAAAATTCCAACTTGGCGTCTCATCATGTTTCCAGTATTAACTGAGACAGGAAATTCTTTAATCACTCCTTCGGTCAATCCAGTTGTACGTCCAACCTTAAATATACGTCTAGATGCAATATCATAAATATTCTACTTTAAACCAGAAAGACGTATATTAGGGATATTAAAAAAGTTGAACGAACTATTTCTAATAGCAAATTTACTTGGGTTAAATACTCGCTTATCAGATAGTACGAGGGCAATGGCGGCATCAACACCATACTTATATTGACCAAATTAATAATTACCACGTACGCCATTTTCAATTAAAGCAAATCTAGTATCTATTTGTTGCGCAGATTCGAATTTTTTTTTATTTTCTATACATGTCTGATAACTTGAATCCAGAAATTAAAGTTTTTTAGACAATTTGTTCTTGAAAAATTCATAATCAATGTTTAAAATTTCATTCCATTCCTTTTTTGTTTTGTTGAATTCACATTCGAGTCTATGCAGTTTAAGCATTATTTGTAATGCCTCTAATTTTTCTAGTTCTACTTGTAACTCCTTTTTTTTTTCGTTTTCTAACTTATTTTCTGTTCTAAACATCAATAATTTGTTGAAAGCTTCAAGCATTCTCAATAAATCCTGATGTTTTACATTATTTCCATCTTCCTCAACTATAACTTCTTTCAAGACTGAGATTACTGATTCTAATCTTTTTAACTCTTCCATATCTTCTGTCAAGGCTGAGTGACCATGCTCTTCATTCATTACATTCTTCAGATTGAACGATTCAATCATAGTAAGTTTTTTCTCAGAATCGTTTAATTGTTTATCTTTAAAGATCAATTCCTCTAATGCTTCTAATGATGATGCCAGATCTTCCAATGAACGACCAATGTAGTCAAAGTCAGATGGTTGGTGTATATATTCAGAATTGTGTCCCGAAACAATATGTTCGTTTGTCATCAAATATATTTGCTGGTTGGAGTCTTTAACGAAAAATCCTAAAGTTCCTATTCTACTTTTTACGCCAATACTAGATCCAGGTGATACCATTTCCTTATATTCACAACAATAGATTTCCCCTCGTTCAACAACGGTTGGTTTATAAAAACCTTCACATACATCTGTAATAAAACTGCCAATATTTTCAGGAAAAAGAGTGTTATTATGAGGTAAAATATTCTTACGTATTACATAAAATACGATAGCAGGTACATTCTCGTAAAGTTCATTTCTAATTTTCCAATATAAACTAATAGCAATAAGGTTATGGTGTTTTGAACGAAAGTCATCCCCAAGTTCGGTATCTAATATATTGTTAAATTTTTCTATATCTTTAGAGGAGATTGCTTCCTGTGGTGGATCGTTTAGAGGTAAGTTTTCCGTAAAAGTCCCCCACTCAATATATTTTATCATAAATTTTCCCAAACTTTGCAACTTTATTTCTGGCATTTCGTTCACTACAATGTACAAGTTTTGTTTAACATATGGTGGTTCTTCACTGCCAAAAAACATATCCAATACATTCGGATCATTTAAAATTTGGTGAATTTCACACGCGTTTTCTTTAGTTATGTAAGGAACGATATTACCTTGTAATAGAATAGTCATAATATTAATAATAAAAATTAATGTTACAAATAATTACCAATGTTTATATTACCATTCTTATTTTCAACGTATTCTCTTTCTTCCATATCCTTTGAGATTTTATCAAAATCGGCTGAGGAATTAAGACTGTTGCTTCGTACTTCAACTATATTGTCAGTAATAGTTAGAATAAATACAAAATTAGATCTTTTGTCGCACAAGGTCACAAACCTGTCATATTGACGCTTCTAGTATCGATCTTGGCAACGGTAATAGACATGATACGAAATAATAAATGTAAAAATATTTTTTTGCAGAAAGAAGAAACCAAAGGAACAGTTTATGAGGAATTTTTTCATTGATAAATCATAAACTTTTTGTATTGATTATATTTTGACTCCGCAGATCAAATGTATAATGATGTAGGTTCGTGTCATTGCTATGATTTTAATGATTTTAATCAGGCTATGTCTATTTCTTGCGTGATTAACGTAACAATTTGTCACTCGCACAAGGCAATAAATTTGTAATAACATCAAAGAGCCCTTACTCTGGTCCTGATTTTAGCAATCCTGGAATTATGACGCTTTGATATGACCCAGTATCAAAACTTTTATTGAGACTGATACGTATTAATTCACGTGTTAACGATATTACTGCATATTAGTCATATGTCCTATTTGTCCCTCCTGCGTTTTCCATTAGTTACTCTTTTATTATTACTACTAATTTTACTGATTGTATGAAACGAATAAAAGTAATTTTTTATCCCGAATGCAATGGTTTTATTTGTGTATAATAGCTATTTTAATGAAAGATATCACCATTTTTGTTATTATTAGGTGAAAGCGTTTCATATTAATGCAAATACCAGAATTCGATTATGAAAATAATAGGAAATGGAATTAAGTGATGCTTCGTTATTGATTTAAAAAATAGAATCCCAGATCAGTAACTGAGACTAATTTTTCTGTAACTATACTTGATTACTCATTCTTGACCACATACGCTCGTTTTTCAGCTCCAAATAATCTTTACATTTTTCAAGAAGTAGTTGACATTCTCCCTTTGAATTTTTCTATCTTAATGTATTTTGAGATATATACTTTTCGTGTAAAATCACGTGTCTATGATCGTTTCCCGAGGAAACGATTTTTCGGAAAATAGTTTTGCCGTTGGTTCCATCTTGTCATATTATATATCATTATAATCGCAAGTAAAGGTATGCTCATTCTGTTATCTTCACCACGTATTAATTGTTCATCTTTTCTAGCTATTTTTTCCTGATACATATTAACTAACTCTTGTCCACTACCCTCCATAATTTTCCTCGTTCCTCAAAAAATCATGGAGATTTGTTTTTATATACCTATGAACCCAGGTTCCTAGGACCTCCTTATTTAACTAGCGTGGTTGAGCGGCAAGACGCTCAGAGCATTACATTAATTTGGTAACTATTATGAACGGAAACAACTCACTGGGGGTATTACTTTACATCTTTGGCAGTCCCTTCACTTTGTGGACAAAACTCTATTTTGCCTTTATAATTTGAGAATATTTATTAACATATGTAGTATAAATGGATAATTTTTAAAAAAATTACGGGATTTATTATTTACAAGGAAAATAAAGCAAGCTGAGGATTTGGATCGACAAAAAGTATTATTTTTCTGAGGCGCAGGAGAAAGTTTTGCAAAAAGTTTCCAAAAATTCTGTATTTGTGCTTAATGAATATACAGAACATAAAGAAAAAATAGAAATTTTTTTTACCAAAAAAGAAATTCCAAAGAAATTTATCACATAGATTATCGTAAATAGCTAAAATTTGCATTATAATGAAATTTTCATGCAATTATATGCAAAGTTATGAAAGAAATCGGAGATGATTTCCGTTCTATAAAAAACCCCTAATATATTCTTATATGGGAGTTAATGGAGCTTTTATGAAAAGAAAAATTAAATATAAAAGACTTAAAATAATATCCTTACGTTAAATCTTTCTCTTTTCCTTAATAAAATATCAAAAAATTTATAATTATAAACGTATAAATACTGATAAAATGACATATCATTTCGAAACTGAAATAACTAAAGCGCTCGAACAGCTACTTAAAACTGAAACGGATTATAATGTTATTATTTACGCTGGAAAAAAACATGATTCTAAGGAATATCACGCTCATTCTAATATCTTACGATGTAGATCCAAAATATTTCGATAATATAATTTCTGATAAAAATATTGAGAAAAAAGATGAAAAATATGTAATTTATAAACCGAACATTTCTCCTCAAGTTTTTGACGTTATTCTTAAGTAAGTTATTTTAAATAATATACAATTTTTACAAATATATTTCATTTATTTTCAATTTTTTTTTTAGATATCTTTATGGGGATTGGCACAAGAACATAATTTTAGTAGGGATGTATCTCAATGGAATCAAGATGATATTATGACCTTTAAAAGGATTATTTGTAGGTTTATTCCTTTAATTAGATTTTATGATATATCTCCTAAGGATTATATGATCAAAATTAAACCTTATGAAGAAATTTTATCAAAGGAATATAGAAATGATCTTTTGAATTATTACATGATTCCTGAATACAAGCCAAAACTTAATAATTTAGCATCAAGATATTTAAAAGATATCAATTCCGTGATAATTGATCAAAGACATGTTAACCTACTTACAAATTGGATTGATAGAAATGGGGAAAGAAAATTTAGTCTTTATAAATTTAATCTTTTATATAGAGCTAGCAGAGATGGTAATACAGCCACAGAATTTCATAAAAAGTGTGATAATAGGGGGGCTACTATAATTGTATTAAAAATTAAAAATTCTGAAGGAATAATTGGAGGATATAATCCACTTGAATGGGATTCAACAAATGGTTCTTTTAAACGCACGAAAGATAGTTTTTTATTCTCATTTACAAATAAAAAGAACGTCCAAATGGCAAAAGTAGGTTATAGTAATGGTAATAAATATTATATAGTTTGTTATCCATATTTCGGTCTAATATTTGGTTATAATAACTTATATTTACATAATGATGGTACTTGGACAAGTTATCCTGATGATAATCCATGTTCTTATCCCAAACTTGATGGTATACCGATAGGAACCTTTGATGTGGATGATTTTGAAGTTTTTCAAGTTATAAAGAAAACGAAGAAAATTAAATTAAGTGATTTAAAATCAATATTTTGGACGAAAAAGAAATATTAAATTAAATAATTAAAAACGTCTTTTTGTGTCAATAAAAAATTTATTATATTTTCTTCTTGTTTGTAAGTGATATGAAGTTATTTCGATCAATTCGTATACTACACGTTACACGATTCAAATTAATATAAACAGGTTAATCTAAATATGACCAAATTTTTTTTAATTAGATAGATATTAACTAGAAACAGAAAGACGGAAAGTCCAGAGCTATAAATAGTACGTGATTGGCTTAGACAGACCTCCTTTTACTACACACGTGACTGAAATTTTTAGTGTCGTTCCGACGTTTCGGACAATAAATAATTAATAATAAAATAATTACATGTTACTCAACAGAGTACTTAATACGGTAATTTATTTAATTTTTATTTCAAATGGGGTAGAAATAACGAACGGCAAAAAATATATATAACATTCTATTTATATCTGCATTATACGCACGCCCGGTTATCGTTATATACCTATTTTTAATTAAAATCATCATGTCTCCTGAATACGGTTATAGTAGATAATAATCAATAGGTTCATTCAGAAGTTTCCAAAAATTGTTAATGCAAACTCAATCATTTACAAAGTTAACCGAAATGTTGTACATATTTTGAAACCTATAAAAATTTTTTATTCATTATTTCTATAAAAATTCCGTAAAAGTGAGCCTTTCACGGATCCATTCATGGAAAATGTAAATAAATTCCGGGATATAAGATTATTAATTCCGGAAACATGAGCCTTTTACGGAAAAAAGATGGAATATAAAAAACGGATTGTCTTTTTTTACTGGGAAACTGTTAAATTTTAATTGATCGTCAGTTAAATTATTTTTCCAAAAAAAAAAATTATTATTTGTTTTCTAGAAAGAGAGAATGATTTATACAATTTATATTGGTTCACTTAGTAAGTTAATTACGTCTTTTTTATTTGGTTTTTATTTTATTTTTAAAGATAAATTAAAAGTTTATATTAATTTCTTTCGCTCTTTCTATATAGTTAACAGTTAACCAATAAAAATGCATTTATGAATAGGCTAATTGTAATCCGATAGAACTTTTACAAAGAGTAATTCAAAAGGAATATGGTAAATTTCGTTTGAGAAATAATCTTAAGTATCAATGGAATCGTAGATGACAAATTATACGGCAATCTAAATAAACGCTATAATCAATTTCATTTGATTTCCAATTTAAAATAATTTTAATTTGGATTTCATGTTAATTTATAAAGTATATTTATTTTATTTATCTCTGTCCTTTTAGGTTCGATGATTGGATAATATTTTGATTTTATTTCTTTTTAAACGAAAAATAATTTCCGATCTGAATAGATCTATCGGATAATCCGACGGCATTTAATTATTAATATCATTTTTCTTGAATGAAAAGGATAAAAAATGCGAAATTTCACCAACATAATAATTGAATCATTTTTTATTTGATTAAATTAGTGAAGTTAGATGATAATATTATTTTGATTTTCCGTTTTTAATTTTCTTTCTAAGCGTTCTTAATTTTTCAGACGAATCTACAACTTTTTTTCTTAGAAATAAAAAGAATTAATTTTATAAAGTGAAGTTGAAATTTGGTATTTTAAATATCATTAACGATGCTCATCGAGTGTTTTATTTTTTCGAAATTTGATTTTTTTAATTGGTATTGAAAGTTATCAGTAATTTATCAGACAACATAGACAAAAATGAGTTGTAATACGGTAATTCTTCATATTTAATTTCAATACACTATTGCACCCATACATTTATATTTATTTTAAAACTTCACAAAGTATTTTAATATAACGCAAAATTTATATAATATAGTGGCGTGCGCCACAGCAGTCTGGATCGTACTACACCTTTAATTTGAAAGGACGGTTATGTTTTCTCCACAAACGAATATGACGATGGTAGACTACTATATGACGATGTACAGTACTCGTGGTTCACTAGTCCGGATTAAATACTCGATCTGGCGGTGGATCAGTGGTGGGTAGAAGAAAGGTAATTAGAAGATGGGAGCGGCGTATTAGTTAGTGAGGGACGCCAGTGGAAAATTGATAAAGGTGGAGGTTGTTCTTTATTTTATGGATATATGTCTAGAATACTTAGTCGAGATTGAAGGTTCTTAAATTCTAATAATTTTGTACTAGAGTATTAAGAAAGAGCACGTGATTTATAGTGTTCTGCTTATTGGCTAACGCCAATTATGCCGGGACTAAAAACAACATCTATCGATTCTATCGTAATATGAAGACTGTGTAGAAAAAAGATCACATCTTTTTTGTGGTAAATTTACGCCAATTTCTTATGCTCTCAAGAATACTAATAAAAAAAAAAAAATTTTTTTCGTCTTTTTCATTATCAAAAATATTCTTCAAATAAATTTTTTTATATAACTATGTCGCTTCATTCCCCTAATGTGGTTGATAAAGTATATAAAATATGGTAAAAAGTTAAACATATATATTTTCTTATTAGTTAGAAGGCGCAGTTTTTTTTTTGTTAGTAACGCGCATTTTTTATTATTTAATGAAATTTATAAAAAATTACATTTATGTAATAAAAAATAGCACTAAGAAATATTAGGTTATTCTATCTACTAACCCGTAATTTTGTATATTAACGTATCCCCAATTATTTTTATATGTGTTTCCATTAATAATGCTATTACTAACAATTTTTCCTGTTATTATGTTTTTTTCTATTTTTTTAATTTTTTATTACGCTTCATAATTTCTATTATTATTTTCCTCAACATTGCCTTCTATTCTTTTACGTTTTCTATCTTTTGTTGTAACGTTAAGTTCCTTTGATTCTTTTTCTATAACTCATCAACCATATATATTTTCTAACGCTCAAGTACTAATTACGTTCCCATATTATTTTGACCATCTCCTTCTCTTCTTTGGCCCTCGTTAATTCTCTATATTTTAATGCGTGTTATCTGATATCAATATATCATAATATTATTTAACGCTTCACTTTTAACCGTTCTAATTCAGTAAAAGTGATGAACAATTTTTTCTTCCGTATATTCATTCCTCGTACATTCCCATACATGATCCCAATTTTCTGGCATATTATAATTATCGATCTTACTATAACATCTGATACATGCTTCCGTTATAATTGCATTATTCCCTCTTTTAAATAAAATTTCATATATCGGTAATTCTTTTATGAAGTTCTTAATTTTATATACTCGTAATTCATTATCTAAATCATTAGTTAAATCTGTTCTTGCTTGTTCCTTTTTTAATGAACTTAAGGACCAATCATATTCTTGCAATATATTTAAACGGAATATATCTATCAGATGTTCGCTTGCTAAAATTTCACTTTTGTATTTTATTCTATTATACATTTTCACCCAATGTTAAAAGGTGCAGTTAAAAATTGCGTTACCCATTATTTAATTAGACCTGCAGCCGGGTTATGTATAATTGTTAATTATAATTACTTGCTAGGTAAAAAAAGATATTATTCAGATCATTTTTTATTTTATTTTTTTATCTATTATATAATACATTTCAAAAAACTGTATGAATACCCTTATTTTTCAAAATGTCTTATAACTTTGCCTTTCGCAAAAGTAGACAAAAATTGAAGGTGAGAATTTTAAAAGACCATTTTCCTTTTAGGTAGAACTGAAAATGGAAATATGTATCTTAAATTATTTGAAGTGAGCTCTCTCTTGCTCTTAAATAGCATTATTTATTTATGAGATCTTTTTACCCTTAAATCTCACTAAATATTACATGAAAATCCAGTCTCCACCAAGAGCGGTAGAATTTGGGACTAGCTGCTCCTTCTATTTAATTATTTTAAAAATCAATGATATTAACTTCTTTATAATTACCATGACTCTTTCTCGGATGATGAGAATAAATACATTTTATGAGTGAGTTGTTCGTCGTCTAAAAGAAAATTTTGTCGTGACCGAATAGCAAATATCATATTTTAATTTTAAACAATAATTAATTTGTTAGTCCCTTCAATAAACAAAAAAAAATAATTTTTTATAGTTGTTATTCTCCGGATATCCATTTGATTAAATGAATGGATACCTATGTACTATGATGAAACGTTCAGAATTTTTTTGCGGACCGGAGTATCGTACTTTAGCGGTATTATAATTGAAAACAATATATTTATTAAAACGTACATTTCGTACATTTCATTACAAAATACATTTCCTTCATATACACGTTCATTTTAACATTGAAATCAACTTCGTTATTCACTATTCCTTTGTTACTAATATCACTGTCTTCGCACCACTATCGCTTTCTTCATAACCAAATATCGACAGCAGATCATTATAAAATATTTTTAAATCTGCACTCCCTTAAAAGAAAGTATCCCCCGCAGTATAGTACTTCCGAAATTCCTGAATTTGTATTATATCCGAGTTTTTCGTCAACCGTTTACGGTATACAAAAGATTTGACTATAAATATAACATTTTACTGTATATTTAGTTAAATATTTCGTTAGTCAATAAATTAATAGTATTCACTATTTGTAACTTTTATTTCCTTCATTAGATTAATGTAATGCCTAAGAATTTGGTCTAGTGTATTGTTTATTAGAGAAAGAAGGTGGCTCTTGGAAGTCAAAAGAAAAGCTTGAAGCCAAGAAATTGTTAATAAAGATGATGTTGGTATAAAACTATGAATTTAGGGTATTGATAATTGTGTAAACTTTATTGAAATTAATAAATTATTTGGTAAAAAAGTCGATAATAATGAATAAAATAATGATTGTACATTTTTATATCATTAAATTCTAATTTTTACAAGGGTGATCTTAACGCTCACCAAGGGTAAAATTCACCAGGGGTAAAAAATAAAAATCATCCCAGGTAAAATTCATCTTTATAATACATTATATTAAAATTTTAAATTTTTTCAGTTTTTTAAAAAAAAAAACTAAAAAATAAAATTTTTACAATTTTTTATATCTTAATTAAATTAAGGTAAAATTCACCTCCGATGAATTTAATTTCTGGTGAACGTAAAATTAATTCTTTTTACAAATACTGTGTAATTATTGGTTAAAATATAATAAGTAATAATGCTCATTTTTTATACAATTGTTAATCACTGAGAAATTTCTTGAATAAACATTGGGTTCATTTTGGATATATAACTCGTACAAGATCAAACAAAAAAAAAAAAAAATGATATAATTAGAATGGAATTTTTTTATAACTTTTATAAAATAGAAACTTGAATATCAATATTTATTATTTTATTCTATTTATGTTGATTTTTTTTTTTTTTGTATTTATATTTGTATATTTATATACTTTTATCGTTAGTTGATCCGTGTTGTGTTTTTCCATTAACAGAAATTTTAACTGTGGGTGTTGTCGATCATTCAGCATTATTTCAAGTTCATACAGGTAATAAGGTTTCGCCCACATTTGGTTTTATCTTTTTTAACAATTTATTTATGTTTGTATGTAAATACTAATGCAACTTGATAATTTTTTTTTTTTAGTACGATTAAATCAGATTACATCCTTAAATTTGTTAAAAAAACAAGTAGTTGAACTTGAGGATATATATATATATATATCTGAGAATATAAAAACTTTTGTAAAGTCAGTCTTCCGATCGTCTAATTTCAGAAGACAGAGAATTAATTATAAACTGTTCTAAAAATATTATTAAAAATAGATGCGCCAAAAAATCTGAATCAAAACATTCCATGAGCCTTACGCCTTATTTACATGTAATATTTACGTCTATATTATGGAAAATACGTTTTTAAAGTTTGTTCTTTTGCATAAATAGAGTCTACCTGTCGGAAGTATAATGCTGGTCAGAATCACATATAATGTTGGCAGGCACTACAGATCACATGACACAAATAATATTCCAAATTGACCGAAAAATTTGTCACGCCGAACAGTAATTTGCTAAAATCTGTAATGCCGACTATCGTACAGTATGTCTGAATACATCATTTCTTTATATTTACTGTATATTTGACTTCACTAATTGATATGAGTAAGAAAAAAATCTCAGGACAAAAATTTTATTATTAATGAATTGATTTAATACCTCATTTAAAGATTTCAATCAATAAAATAATACTTTTAAAAAGAATTTCATAAATTCAAATAATTCAAGTTTTCCGTTGTCGAAAAATGTTGATATAATTGTTTTTCGAGAATAAACAAAAAGAAGCGGCAAAAAAAATAGTAATAATACGCCAAAATATTACCTAAAAATAATTCGAAGCAAATAAAGTTAATATCGATCAATTGATCGATAGACCTATTTTTAACGCTTGTCAATAAAGTAAAAGTCTATGTTCAACATTATAACATTGTGAATTTTTTAATAAAGAAAATAAGTATAAGTGCAAAATGTATCAATAATGATATTGTATAACAACAAAAAATTAATAAATGGTTTTTAGCATACCTTCTAACTAAATCAGGACTAAAAAAAGAATAATGTGGGTCGATATTTAGAATAATCGTCATGAACTCATGAAGTGATGGTTAAGATAAGGAGGTAACCAGCCGTTCCAACCTCCAGTCTCCAACGTCTTTCCTTTACCGTATTCTCGGTTCATTTACTGCGGAACTGCCTATTAATTGTTTCATTTCCTTTAAATTAATACACAGCATAAATTGGTCAAATTATACTCAGCATAAATAGAAGGTCCTCAACTATTTATTGTTTTTCCCACTTAATTACCAGAGAAAATATTAAAAAAAATTTTTTTTTCATGAATAATGGAATTATCGATTAAAGCAAACTTGATTAATGTATGCTAAATAAAGTTATCTACTAAACATTTATTGTAACTTTATCCGAAAAAAAATTTTATGGCGCATTTTATATCATACTTTTCACGGAACACGAACTGATTATCATTTTTTGTACAACACGGTTCTTCCAACATTCCAATTTTTAAATAATGGAATGTACCGTAAACGTACAAGAGTGTAAAAGTAGACAATTATTATTTTTATCTTTCTATATTAAAGATGATCGACAACCAAATTTAATGTTGTGTAACATAGAATTTTTTTTTGAATAATCTTTTTATTTATTAGTTACCATCTTTGAATTTCATCAAAATTATGATCTTGCGTAACATAAGTTATACTATGATCTTATTGATTCAACACAATAGAACAGGAACGAGTAATAAGAATGGAAAAAATTACGTCAAATATCTAGAAAAAGAATGTGGCTTTTTTTACGATCTGAAAATATCACAAATAACTATCCACTATTGGTAATTTGGTACACGAAATAAACAAGATTACAAACTGGATAGTATAGGACGATTTTGATGACGTAATCACAATTTTCTACTTATAAATCTGAATGTTTCTAATAATGTATTTTTGTTTATTGTTGATTCACTTTTAATACTATTTTAAATTTTAATGCAATTAAAACAAAGCCATTTACATCTTTTAAAGTTAATTCTCATATTATATATATAAACTCTCAAGGTTTATGCGTGGTTATTTTTTTTTTCGTATAATTTAAATTTAATTTCTTGTAAAATGAATTTATTATAGTTAAGGAGTTTTGCTATAATTATTTTCTATTTAAATTAAAGTAAAGCCTGCGTGCATCATATTTATATTAAAATTAAAATATAATCGAAGTTTAATTTTATTTTAATGTAACAGGAACATCTCTTCTATTTTTAGAATAGCTCTATTTTCTTCAAATGTCTTGTATACCGATGTTATCAATGGAATCACAATTTTTGTAATACTCATGTGACCATATTACATATACAAATATAGAACGGCATAGATCGAAAAAAAACTGTTATTTTATATATATAATTAAATAAATAAATAAATAAAAAAAAAAAAAAAAAAAAAAATAAAAATAAATAAATATATAAAAAAATAAATAAATAAAATTTTTTTTTAATATTTCGTCTTTTCGGCATATGGCAACACATGTAGGTTAGAGAAACTACTCTATTTCAGGTAGGCGATGGTTTTTCTTTCTTTTTTAACAAACCAATTATGGATAAATTAATATTTTGATTGACAATGTATATAAATATACGTTTCCAGTTTAATTTTTATAGTTTTGCATTAAATTTTTTCTTTCTTTTCTTTTCTCAAAAAACTTCAAACAAAAAAGCGGTGTTTGTATTTAGTGCCATTTGTTACGTCAATTTCTCTTTATTACGTCATATTTTTCAATCAATGCCTATGATAAGTTAATTACGTCATTTTTTTAAATCATCTAAACAATTAAACACTTTTACACTCAGAACACTGAGGTTTCTCTTACGACATTTTTTTATTTCCTTGTAAATGTCTTATCTTAATAAAGACATTCTTTTCTTATTATTTGAAGAATTACAGGATGATTCAAAATCCCTTTTTTCATGCTTATTAGTTAATAGACTTTGGTGTGAAACTGTGGTTCCAATTTTATGGAAGAATCCTTGGCGGTTTGATCATATAAATTATCAAAATAAATATTATTTATTTATTATTATTACTTTAAATTTATCTGATGAAATTAAAGAATCTTTATCAAGTCAAGGAATTAAATTACCCTCAAAATTACAATATTTCCCACCCTTATTTGATTATTTATCTTATTGTAGAAGTATTAATGTAAATGTTATTAATGATATAATCAATATTTCTTCTTCTTCTCCTTATAATAAATTTCTTTTACAACAAGAAGTTTATAAACTTTTAATGAAGAAATGTCCAGATTTTCGATTTTTAGATATGAGATCAATGGAACATCAAATATTTTATTTTCCAGAAGCAATAATACGTTTTGAATCATTATGTGAATTAAAATGTGATAGTTCTATTGATTCTATATATTTTTATGGATTATCTCGTATATGTTATTTTATTCAAAATATCATTATTTTTAATACGAATACAAAAGTTAATCGTGGAATTGTTAAATTATTAGAAAATCAAAAAAATTTAAAATATTTTAAATGGGAAAATGATTTTGATGATTATGTTGAAGAAGATACTTTTGATGAAATTTTTTTGGTATTGGTTAAAAAATCACATACTCTCACTCATTTTATTTCAACTTTTCGAGAAGGTTCTATTTATACTTTTCCATCAGAGATACTTCCAGAACTTTATAATTTAAAATCTTTAAAACTTAATTTTCATCCTATTTTTGATTTTTATTATGATGAAAAATTCACCCATTCAATATATCGTAATCTTGAAATTCTTCAATTATGTGATTATATTTTAATTAATACTGTCGTTTGTATAATTAAAAATAGTGGTGGTCAAATTAGAAAAATTTTAATTAATAGTTTTGATATAAATTATAATTTTTATGAAGATTCACTTGTTCTTATTAAAATGATTTATGAATCTTGTCCTTTAATTGAACATTTATCTATTACTTTTCCTTCTTCAAAAAAACATTTTAATGAATTTGAAAAATTACTTTTAATTTGTAAAGAATTAAGAGTATTAGATATGTTGGATGCTAACGTAATTGAAGAATCTCAAGAAATAAAATTATTATATGGTGATAATTTATCTAAAGTATTAATTAAAGTTACACCAAATAATTTAAGGGAAATAAGATTTTGTGATTATTTTAAATTTTCATTAAAAACATTGGAATCATTTTTAGAAAATTGGAAAGGTAGTTTTCAACTTTCTTTATTAACTTCTGATCATATTTATAGTAATGAAGATTATTTAAAACTTATTAACAAATATAAAAATGATGGAGTTATTAAAGATTTTAGATATGATTTTGAAAAGAATAATGTATATTTTTAAGAACTTTTTATAAATAGTAGTATTTGGGTTGGACGGTTGGTTTATTTCGTAAAGGTAACAAATATATGTTATTCCAAATTTAATTTAGAAATTTACGATTCTTTTATTTTGATCTAATAAAAAGGTTCGTCGTTCTTGGAATAATAATTATGGGTTGGGTACTATAATAATGCTTTTTTTATTTGTTCAATTTGTTCAATTTGTTCAAGTAAATAGAAAATATATAGTGAATAAGTGATTTTTAAATAGTGAGAGTTCATTAATTGCTAAGCGTTAAAGATTATGACTTGTTGATGGAATCGTAAATGCGCAAACGTAAATTACGCAAATTTACAAATTTACAAATTTACGAAATTTACGATGCAATTATGTCAGCTTTTTGATAATAAGCTAGCGAAAAAAAAAATACGCGTTATTACCACTTATATATATATAATTTTGTACATAATAAAAGGAAAACTTTTAAAAGTAAAAAAAAAAATTCGAGTCAGAATATTTATTAGAGGATGAATAAAAACATAAATAAAGATGTACTATATTTTGTAATGATAGACAAAATAAAAGATAGAGTTTGGACTTTACTTCAAATAATCAAAAAATTTTTTTGCTGATCCGCTGATCCACATGATTAAAATTATAATTCTGATTGGTCAACGTAACCATCATGGTTCTACAGGTTCTACAATAATATAATTAATACATGACCACATGTTTTTTTTCGACAATTACCAATTACTGATTATTAAATTACTAATTGTTTTTTAAAAAGTTGGTTTCTTATCAATAAAAGATTATGCGTTGTATTAAATCTACGTAAAAAATATATACAAATATTCGATATACTGTAAATATAATGAGTAATAAAATAAAATGTAATAAAAGGATAAAGTTACAATGCATAATATGGATGAGATATTTAATTGAAAAGAATTAAAAGGGTTTGCTTTAAAAAATTTTATTACTTACTTACTACTGTACAGAAATATGGTTTTCCGTATGACACTATGACACGATATCACTAACGGTATATTCCCTTTCTCTCATAAGATGAGCGTCTTACATCCTACAAGAAAAACGTCTTTTATAAAGTTTTTTTAATGATAACATTCAATCCTTTGGATGCCATAATGCAATTTTAAGTTCTCAAATTACCTTTTCTCATTATTCTTAAAAATTAATTCACCGCACAAAAATTACACGCTATAAAATTGCTGCAGACTGCAGTACCTAGCATTCTGCATTACAATGATTTGATAGTACAACGAGTGCTAAATTCCTGAAGTTTGGGAAATTATTATACTTGCCGTCAGAATTAGTTATCTGTTATGGCATATGAAGCTTATACCGTAATATATTAAATCGCCGTAATGCCGTAATTATTTAATATCAAAAATACAAAAATTACACAAAGTAAGTAAATATTTTTTTCTGGTTATGCCGTATATAATGCTGGTCTCGATGATTGTTAAATATTTAAATGGTAAAATCCATATTTTGTGATGCCATAATTTCAATTCTGCAATTCCAACGACACCTATAGAAATTATTGTTAAACAACCATTTATAACCACCCATAAAATAAAATTTTTTTAAAAAACTTTTAATTTTCATACAAGATAACACTACCAAAATTATGGCTGAGAATCGTTGGTTACACACTTACATCTTCACAACAAACTCTCTAATGTTGCGTTACCAGCAAATCGGTGTTTCACTGCGCTAATTACTTTGTCATAAATTCGAGTTAAACAGATCTTCGGTGACGCATTTCTATAGTACGTAGTTATTTTTCTTATTGTTATATTTGAAAGTCCCTTGGTGAGAACGATGATTAATTTCATAATTGATATGAATTTCACATCCTTTTTTTTAAAAAAAGAAATCAATACACAGTGAAATTCGATATACCGGAACCTCGGTATAACGGATCATAAGTAAAATCTTGATATATCGGAATTGGAGTTTGGAACGGATTATCATAACAAATAACGGAATTCTTGATATAACGGACTTTTGACAAATTTTTACTAATGAAACGGATGGTTCCATTATATCGAATTTTAATGTGTATATGCTTTTCGCTGATTCAAAATCTTATCTCTCCCAAATCCCATTTAAATGCATAAAAAATATTCCTGAATTTATGATTTTATTTATTTACTTTTTTAATTGGCTGTTTTTTAATGTTTTAGTGATATTTTACTATTTGTTATTTCATCGAAGTAAAGTGGGATATTGAAAAGTATTGGGCATTTTTGAGCATATTACCACATTAAATTATCTAAAGCTTGTTTGATTTATCATAATGAGATGCATTGAAAGGGATGGAAAAAGTTCGCAGTTGAGTGGTTTTAGCAATTTGTTTCTTTCGGTTAAGTACTTTTGATTCTGATAAAATTTTAATATGAACTAACTCAGTTCTGAACCAAACTGACTAAATTGTATTTTGAAACAATTATGGAACGGAACTGGTTCGTCCAATTTGAACCGGCTCAAGTTAGTCCGTTCAATAGCATAAGTTTGGAATCGGAATGGACTGAGCGTGACATTTTTACATCTCTAGCTTTGATAGGTAATAAGTTATTTACAAAAAGTCAATCTAGAGACATGAAAATACCACCATTCGGTGTGTCTTACTGTCTTACTACGATAAATCCAACGAATCCGACAAGCCTTAGCTGATGTTAAACCGTTTAAAAAAATCCCACTGTATAATTCCACCAAAATTAAACGATCAGCGCTTGACTTCGATTCGATTGGATTGATATGGGATGGAATTGAGGGTGGGACTATTGCAACCCAATCCCATTTATACGCCACCCATTCAAAATCCCATCCTATTCCATCCCAAATCCAATTCCAAATCAAAAAAAAAATAAATATCACTACTATATAGAAAGAATATAAGAATCTAATCCAGCGCTACACTAAAGATTTTATACTGTATATATATGTGACGAGCCTATATTTATAAATTTATTTAAAATAAAATAATTGATCTCAAAATTATTAAGTATATTTCTTTCAAAATAATAACTTTTTTACTTTTAACTTTTTACTTTTGAATTAACTATTTTTTTTTATGTTTTTAGTGATATTTTACCACTTCTTTTTTAAATTAACATTCATTAAGGCATAATTTCGGCCAAAAAATTAAATAGGATTTCCTTTTTGGAAATACGTTTAACCCGTTTCTACAATTTTTCCTGGAACGAAATTTCCTTTAGGAATGGAATTCGTATAATATCACGTGACTTTTATTCTGATTGATGAGGGAGATGTTCTCCCAATCTCATTAATATGGATGGTTACTTGTGGGGCGGAGTTTCTCATTAGGTAGCTTTTTCTCTTCCACGAAGGGTAAAGCCTCTATATGGGCTCGGTGACCCTGATTACAATTTTAGTCAGACAAAGCGAAATTTTTCTTAAATCAATCCGGCGTTTGGCGTTTGCGATTATTGTTACAATTGTTACACGACACTCTTTTATAATAAAACATAAAACATAAAACAATCATTATTAATGTGAGTGGCAAGATAATCCCATTAATTTGGCAAGTATACAATCAATCGAATCGGAATTAGCTTAGCTATTGAGATCGTCCAATTGCAGAAGTTGAAAGGATATATAATTATTATATATATAATGAAAGGACTGAATAAAAAGCATATCATTCAAACTTGATATTTTTCTAACTCAAATATTTTTGTACATCTTCAAAATGTCAACTCAAATTAACCAGGATTTTTTTGATGGATGTATCTATGGTTTAGTACCAATATTATTCTTAGCGGTATACGGAACCAAAACTGCTCCATTCCTAGGCAAAATTGCTTATCTCATTGATGACATTTTTGTTTTTGGCTTAATATTCATCGGACCTTTCGTGGCAATGTTTATCAATAAAAACTTCAATGATACATACATCGGACTTATATCGTTCACGTCTACTTATACCTTTTTCCCGATCTTAATGGCTCTAATAACTCTACTTATATTCATCATTCACAAAATTTGCAATCGTTTTCTTAAAGATAGACTACAATTTGAATTACCTACGCTAGAATCATTATATAAACTATATACGCATTCATCATTCATTGCTTTAACAATTTATCTTATATTTCAAGACGCTATATGGATTGCTTATTCTTTCGAAACCAATCGCCAGATTGGAAAGGCTTCTTCCATAGCATCACTCTTGGCCTGTTTATTAATTTTTATGCCCTACTTAAACTATTTAAACTACTTAAATATTCCTTATATAAAATTAAATCTTCATATTCCTATTGAATACCAATTTATTCCTATTATTTTAAATCTTGTTCATCAGATGATTTGGTTATCATTAATTCTAAGTAATAGCAGCTATCAAACAAAATCTTATATGGCTATGACAATAGTTGCGATTGGAAGGGTGATTTTCTATGTAACAGATAGAGATGATAGACCATCAGGTGGTATATTAAACTTTATCTCACAAAATTCTGAGGATGGTATAGAAAGTTTTATACGCTCCTGGCGTTCTTTGTTGGTAAACGTAATGTCCGAATTTAAAATCTCCAGTAAGTAAAGAATAAGTTATATATATAAAAAAAAAAAATTTTTTTCATCATTAAAGTTACTATTTTTGTTTTAACAAATAACATTGATATACATTGCTAATAAGAATCTTTTAAATTTTATTTTAAAAGCAATAAGGACTACGTCAAGTATAAATCAAGTGTGAAATATTAGAAATTTGGATGGAACGACTGGAACGTACATACAGTAATCATTCGTTATTTCCCGGAATTTATTCTTATTCAAAATAGTACAAAAAATCTGTTGCTACAGTATATTGATTAATTTTAAATTCTTACCTATATAATTTATAAAGCAAAGCAAACAACTAAAAGTAAAAGTAATCTTTAAAAATTTTATTCGTTCTCAATAATCTTTTTTCTTGTAAATTGATCAACCTAAAAAAAAAAATAAATAGATTAAAAATTGATCCTACTGTTAAGCCAGTTCTTGTATGCTTATAAAAATAAGCGTATGGGTGTATGGTAAGCAGAAGGATAATTGAATAAAATAAATATTAAATAATATTAATGAACGCAAAGTGAAAATAACTATATGTAAATATTAGTAAATGTATCACTGTTGATCAATTTACGAAGGTTACACAATAAAATAAAATGAAATTTCAGTCAAATGCGAATACGGTATTGCACACACGGGCATATACACTCAGACGCAAATGTTGACTCACAAATGTAATAAAACTCTAAATACACAATGAGATAATTTATTTAATAAATGCTTTATTAAAATATAACAGAATTATCTGTCTTTTACATTGGCTTGGAACACATATATTTATAACAAAAATAACTATGCTAATCATGTTAAACATATTAAATAAATGCTATATATTTAACAAATGTAATATGTTAAATATGTGTTATATGTTGCATATGTTATATATGTTAAACATGTTTAACATATTAAACATTCGCAACATTCGTAACATGATCGTCGGTCACATGATTATTCGATTGACACTACTGAAAAAAAAGAAATTTATTACGGTGATCGACAATTCCGCAGTGTAAGTAAAGCTTATATTTATATAGCTGATAGCATGTATTGAAGTATAACTTATACCAAGGATAAACTTATACGCATTGAAAGAACGATGTATATAGAGGAGAGAAATAAGGGAAGAGGAATCAGAATTTTAATGTTAGTTTTAATTTCAGTTTTAAATTTTGGACTATGGTATTAGGAATCCTAATTCTTGATTATCCAAATCCAGTTCGAATATTGAATTTGGAGTTCCTTAATGCACAGTACAGTGAGGGTGTACGATATTAACGTACGAACTGGCCGGAATTAACGTTAAAGCTATCACGTGAAGTGCATAACTCCTAAACTCGGGCCAGTTCGTATGTTAATATCGTACACCCCGTTAAGGACGCCTTGAATTTGAATCCGAATTGGCGAACTTTGGCTGGCACTATGGCTTAATTTTGGCCAAATTCGGATTTAAATCCGGTTATTTTTTTCAAACTTAATAAATCATTTGGTTACATGGTTACAAAAATCCAATTCGGAGTTCGGAAAATCCGAATTTAAACCGGAATTCATGAATTCGATTCCAAACCCTATTTTTAGTTTTTTCGTTCTTGAAATATTGTAGATCATCGGCCAAGGCAGCAATATCATCCCTATGCTAACTTTTTTTATTTTCTTATTTATTACTTTATCATATTTATTATAATAATTTGTTGTTGTCAATATTATTATCAATCGTTTTAAATAATGTATATATTTAAATTTGCATATACATTCGTTTGTGCATTCGATAAATTATTTCTGTTATTATCATGTAACTAAATCGAGCGAGAGTGGTGGTAACATTATGCTAATACAAAATATCTCAGTTATTTTGAAATTCGCAGCGTGATCAAACGGAAACCACGTTCGATCGACATTCGGAGTTATTGACGTACTAAAAAATTTAATTTTGGTAAACAAAAGGAATATATATTATTTATAAAATTATTAAATTATCATACATCTATTAAAATAAGGTATATATAATTTTAAAATCGAAAAAAATAATGCAAATAATAAATAAATATTACATCTGATATTGTTACATGGTACTTGTCAAACTATTTTTAATTCTATAACAGGTGAATTTCAATATTTAAGCATTATTTAAATCTCAAATATTTATAAATTCTTGTCAATAATATTCAATAGATTGCGTCATATTACAGTAATCAATCGATGACATTATTTATGGTTGTATCAATCAATTATAAAATGTTTAAAGTAAGGAGGTTGTTTATGTACTGTAATTAATGATGATTAGTAAGGATGATTTAGAGAAAGTGAAAAACGTAGATTTAAATAAAAAACTGTATTTTAAAAATGTGTATTATAATTTAATTATAATTAAGTTTACAATCTATTGTTCTTTCGTAATCTGTAATATAATTCTTTTATTCTCTTATTCTAATTGTATCACTTGAACTTAATCCTGTGACGTGTGTGTTGATCACATGAATAAAATTTGTTTACATCGCGAGAATCACGAGAACAAACAATATTGACAATCTTTAAGTACGTATATTTATTTAATCCTATTCATTAGAAATAATATATTTTTTTTTTTAAAAAAAGATGAAAGTAGTTTTATCTGAAAAAGAAGTAAGTAAAAAATTTTCTAGTTAGATTGCAAATATAACTCTAACTACTTAATTAATTTATATAAATTTTGTAGAAGGAAGTATTTTTAGATCGTATGGCCGAATTGAAACGTACTGGATGTCGTAATCCATTTGTAAAAATGTCTGAATTTCTCGTAACTAGTAGGAAAGAAGGTCCATATAATGCTCGTCAATTATGTCACTACTGGCGTAATTATTTGGACCCTGGAGGTAAGTAATTTACATTTTTTTTGCCAAGGTATTTTTTAAGAAGAAATAAATCAAAATAAAAATTATTATTTCTTCTTTCATAGTATGTCAAGTTAGTCTAAATGATGAAGAAAAACAATTTATTGAAGATTGGATTGTACTCAATAAAAGTGGAAACGGAGGAATTGAATGGAAAAAGTTACGACAAGATTTGAAGAATCAATTTGGATTCTTTCGATCTGAAAATAAGATAAAAAACTACTGGTATTCAAAACAAAGAAGTAGAAAGGGAACGAATAATGGCACGATCATGTCTAATACTATCAAAATTTCTACCCTCACTACTCCCATCGCTCACTCTTACCCTTTTGGTTTGCATCAACCACAAAATCAACCGTCGTTACCTCACATTTCTTATATTTTTAATAATAATAATGACCCTACCCTACAACTTCCTCGACTTCTTCATTATCAACAAAATCTTTCTACCTTACCTACCTTTTATCCACGTTTAATACAAGAACCAAAGTTACCCATATTACCTCCCAACATATAACAGGCTGCTGGCGCTTCAGGAGCTACATAAGGCATAACTACATTAATTCATTAATTTACTGCTATAATGTATATTTAAATAGCATTTAAGACATTCAATTAATATTTACACGTGTATATTATTTAACATAACATATACTGTATTTAAAATTTCCACTATCTGTATATATTATATTCAAGGAATTATGATATAATCTTAATTTTACGATTCTCTATATAAGAATTTCCAAAGTACTTAATTAATAAAATACTAATATGCTAAACGAACATACTGTACGCGTAAAATATATTTATCACTGTTTTCAGAATTGTGCTGCCCCATGCAAATAAATTAACAAAATAAAATTACCAGATTACAGGGGACAAAACTGAACAATTTGTTCAGTAATCGTCCTAACCATCTAATTACCTTTGATTTGCTTGCGTGCGAATAAACTTGCCCTATAAAAAAAATTTCATTCGTTATTATTTCTGTAAAAACTCCGTAAAATGAACCTTTCACAGACCATTCACGGAAAATGTAAATAAAAAAACGACAAATTTCGTGATATAAAGTTATTAATTCCGGAAATATGACCTTTTACGGAAAAAAGAAGGAATAAAAAAAACGGATCGACTTCTTTTCAGGGTTTTGATTGTTTATTTGTTTATTTTTTTATTTAAGCTTTGTGCACCCCATACAGTCGTACATTTTTTTATTAGTAAATTAAATGTGAAATTCAGGGGACGTGTGTCACGGAATTTCATAGGAAATCACAGAATGCATATCGTTCTTCCAAAACTAAAAGTACTCCATAATAAATTATTTTAAAATTTCGGCCTGATTTAGGATTTGCAATCAATTTTAATGCCAGCTGCTGATAAATTTGGTCAGAATTTGCGAATCGTAATGTTGACTGACCTAATATAATTCTGGCCAAATCACAGGATTTCACAGAATTAACTTTTTGTCACAGATCATCCTTAATCACCGCAGAAATTCCAATCCCTTTTTGCTTTAGCATTTTTTCTTTCAGAAAGCTATAATAAGATTAAAATCGGGGATGGCTTTTTTAAACTCCTAAATTATATCGTGTGATCTTGTAATTCTTACTATTTAGCTCGCACTAAGCTCAAATTTGGCCAACATTGTAAATGATAAGTTACAAATGGTCTTAAATGACCAAGTCATTAAAAGGATATTCAAAGGGTCATTGTAAGATGATCAAATGACCTGGTCATTTGCCATCACTGTTAAAAATTGATATATTATATAAGGCAATAAAATAAATGATTTGACTCCGACCGGAAAATTAAAACAACAGTATCGATATTTGCATCAAATTTCACATGAATGCTAATAGAAATTTAAAAATAAAACAAAACGTTGTTTATTTAAATAGTGTTGCTTTTTTGTTTTACTTATTTTTTTTTTTGAGGGGAAAAAAATTTTAAAATGGAACAAAAAAACGATCAAATTTAGAAGGATTAATGTATTCTTGTTATTCAAATTTAAGAACCGCTGATTTTATTTTTTGAAATAGAATCCAAATATAGCGTCCAAAAATATTGCTGATTACTTATTTATTCTCCTATTTATAACTTCAATCACGCAATATCTTTTACGAACATAAAAGTAAATATTTTCATTCTTCTAAAACGATAAATGATATCCATTTTTTTATGCATAGTCTTATTACCTCATTTGGCTTATTATTCGATTTAACAACTGGTTTTGGCTAGACTAGAATATATCCTCGTAGTAATTTATTTTTAGAAAAAAGGAATTAAAGGATAAAATTTTTTAAAAGAACATTTATTTTACCTTTGATTTTATTACTAATATTGCATTTACGTTAAAATCTTTATTTGCATTTATAGTATATAAGCATTTAACAGTTTAATTATAAATAAGCTCTCTCGAAATTATAAGAACATTAAAAATATTTGTTTTAATATAATTTATTTTCTTTCGATCATTTTTTCTTTTAAAAAAAAAAAAAATTTGTTGCGAATATGGGGAAAGTTAAAGGACCACTTTTTAATAAAAATGTACGTTAAAATATAGTAAGTTTTTTTTCAAAAAAAGGATCAAATTTATAAAACAATTATTATCATTGTAGGTTGATAATAAAATAATGATGCTTAAGAAAGAATGGGAAAATCATCCTAACAATTTTAAGATGATTAGTAAACAGATTCCACAATATAATGCGAAACAAATCCGTCAACGGTAAGCTAAAAATATATTTTTTGATTTTATATTATTCACAATATCAAAGCGTCGGGAATCATTAAAATAAATAAAAATAAATACTATGTTATTTATTATTATTTAGTTGGAAAAATCATCTCGATCCAAATCGTAAGTAAATCTTACAATGAACAAGAATAAAAACAAATCAAATTAATTCTTTTTATCAACAGTTTGTCACGAACCTCTTGATGAAGCAGAAAAATCATTTATCGTCCAATGGGTTAAAGTTAACCAAACAACTCCAACTGCTACGATACATTGGAAAGATTTAATATCCGCAATGAAAGATCGCTTCGGTAAACTGCGCTCAGAAAATAAAATCAAGAATTTTTGGTACCTTAAACAAAGAAGTCTTAAATTAGAAACTCGAATAGAGCAAGAAATGCAACAAGAAGTTGACAGTAAATATACAGTTGATGATGATAATAATGATATTATGTCTTTCCAATCACCTTTTGAAAGCATAATAACAAATATGTTTTTTGATTTTTGCTAATTAAGGATTAAGAATTAAAAATTATACGTACTGTACATATTAACAATAACATTCTATTATGATATGATATAGTTTAAGATATAGTTACCTATTATAGTAATCTACATGGTGTATTATATTAATAAATCATACGATACGGGATTTGTTTTCCCGTCAATCATAATTATTACACGTGATTGCCGGAATGATTTACCCATAATGTAACCTTTTGTTATTTCCATATGAAATTCCTTTTTACTTTCACATTCGTGTGTAACAAACAATGATAATCTTTTTTTTATTTAATCAAACATATTTAAAATGAGGACATATGATCATAGCAACTTATTTTAATAACAAATGATCAATTGCATAAGGAAATTAAACAAAGAGGACCCTGAATATTTTTAAAAACACAAATCCTGACTATATTTATAACATTTACGCTTTGATGTTTTATAATCATAATTTCATCTTGCATATTTTATAGTGTTTCAGAAATTGAATAACGTCACTGGTATACATATTTTTTTATTGGACAAACATTTTTAGATTACGTTTTTTTATTTAAATATATGATTTAAAGGGGGATGAAAATAATTTTTCATTTGGCACAGTACATTTATGGATCTATACAATGAACTTATATACGAAATTCGTTACACTATTATTATTAAAACATTCTTTTATTAATTATTCAATGAATGATATAACGGTTTGTCAATTCTTGGTAAATTATGAACTACCATGAATGGTCACAACTAATAAATTTATAATGATATATGTAATTTATATGGAAATTTAAAAAGGGGCTTTACCAGCTGAGGAAGTGAAATAATAATTATATTTTATAAATCAAGGGAAAACGATGATGTTTTATGATGACCATTGACCAATGTAGAAATCAGAATATAAGCGCACGAAATATAATGTGTGTGACCAATTATAATTATATTGAATGAAATTTGGAAATTTCAATTTTTGATATAGAAAAATTTTTTTCATCGTAAGTGGTTGGAATGGTTGGATCACAAAATGTACACAAAATTAATTACACTCAAGATAGAAAGAATGATTCCCTATTTCTAGATAATACATTATTTACACATTAAAGGTAGGCCAAAGAATTACTAATAAAAGAGGTATATGTTTCAAATTATTTATAAAAGGAGGACAGAGTTCTACTTTAACGTTCAATAAAATAGCATTGATTGCCTCTTCTTATTCACTCATTTAATTGTCACAAACTCAAGAAGACATTTTCAAAGGAAATAAAATTCAAAAATGAAAAAAAAGTTTAGTCCAGTTGTATGTTTTTTTTTTAAAAAAAAATAAATATAAATATTTTGTTTAACCAATTAAAGAAAATATTGTTCCTTTTTAGGTCGATTCAATAATTAAACGAGGTATGTCGAAAGGTGACCATCAGCCCAGAAGATTTGCGAGAATAAGTAAATGTCTCCCTCAATACAATCCAAAGCAGATACGCAATCGGTATGTCAGCAAAATTTTTTTTTTTTTTTTTTTTTTTTTTTTTGAAGCCGTATTTAATTTTTCTTAATCAATTAATTTTTCAGTTGGAGAGAAAAGCTTGATCCAAATCGTAAATATTTTATATATATCTTTTAATATCTAAATATCTAAATTTTTAATTTATTAAACTCTACTTTCATAACTTTTTCTGTATAATAAATAGTCTGTCATGATCCTTTAAGCGAACGCGAAAAACAATTTATTATTCAATGGATTTCAATAAGTAAGATGAAACAAAAAAACGATAGGATTTCCTGGGTTTGTTTACGTCATGATTTGAAGACCAAGTTTTATATAACTCGACCGGAAAATGTACTTAAGAATTATTGGTACTCTCGACAAAGACGATTAGGAGAACCCGCTCGAGAAGGACCTTCCAACAAACCTGCAATTCCTTACCTTTTGAATTATTAAATTGCAAATTGCATTCATTCTTTAAAATTATTATATAATTACTTTAGTTATTGGATGGGGGAATAGAGATATCGAAGATCGATATCCCCCATCCAATAACTGTCAGTCATTACTCATTAGGAATACTGCGGTGACTAATAGGATTGGATATCTCATAATTCATAAAAATATCGGTCATTAAAATCCCAAAATCCCGCATATTCCTACAACTTTCTTCATTATATTTTCTTTGTTACATGTTTTAAAAATTACTTTTTATTATATAAAAATATTATTAATATTATTAATTGATAATCTCTAATTATTTTTGATCAACATTTAACCTTAAAATTCGGGAATTTTAAGTTTAATATCGAGATATACTCCGAGTCTCCGATTGGTCATCTAACTAGTCATATAATAAGCTAGTTGTCGTTATGTTAGTTTCTCTTATAATTTTTATTAAATAATAACAATTCTACAATCTACACAATATTTAATAAAATATATAGATTAATTAAAAAAGTTTCCATACAATAATACGTAAATATTACATGTTAATAAATTACTAGCAACTAAATAAACGACTTATAAAACTACTAATAATACTATTTTGACTAGTTTTATCGTCTATAGTTGAAAAAATACATTAAAACAGTGTATCGAGCGCCTAGTTTACAAATAAATATATGGTCTGTAACTTTAAATATGACAAAGACATTTTTGTTAGTACCTACAGTGAGCGTTATTAAGAAAGTGTGATCATGTGATTACAATGTTAGTATACTACCTTGAGTTCAGAATATACAGTGTATAAAGAGTCTATTTATTGAATACATAAAAATATTAATTAAAAAATGAGGTGAAATTTGTCTTTATTATCTACCTGTCAATAGTAATAATAATAGTCGTAATTCCTCAACGCCAACTCTGACAACATCCCAAACAGTAAGGATAAACAGTGGCAAAAGTAGCGGAATAATAGCATGCGGAAGACGTGTAACATTATTTGTAGATGCCTGATTACTAAGTACCAATGCAATATTATCGTGTATGTGCTGTGTAAAAATCATGACATCACTAACTGCACCATCCAAAATCATTAACGGTTCGTTAAAGCTTTCTTTATATCCGCCAATGAAAAAGATACCAGGAATGATAGCTGTCTGGCTGGTCTCGTCGGGGTTAAGATAAGTAACTTGATCCAGCAGACCATTAGTGTAAATAGAAAGTCGGGATTCATTATAGCTGTAACAATAATATTATACCAATTGTCATGCATGATAGTCTTATTAGAGGTAAATATTTTGATATTGTAACTCGTTATTCTGCTGTAGAATAATAAACAATTTTTCTATCCGAATTGAGAAGTATTGGACCAGCAATACCGTCAGTCAACTTGCCGTTATCAGGGTATAGTTTACTTTAACCCAAGCAGAAATTATGTAAGAGGCAATGCAGTTTGTTTCCCAGAAAAATATACAATTTAATATCATTTCCATTTTGGAGATGTAAAGCGATAGAATGAATTTTAGAGAAAGAATTTTTTTTTTTTTTTTTTTTGAGAAAATAAGCTTGAGAAAACCTTTCTGAATACATCGTGACTAATAAAATAGACTCTTCGGCTTGTTATGACGTATGACGTTATAGGATTTATCAAGTATTTATCATGTAAAAAAGTGAATCAACTGTGCAATTTTTCGGATCGTATTTGACTAAGCTTGCCTATTTCATACCAGAATTTTTTTTTTTATGGAAATGGACAATCAACACAAGATAAATTATGATTCACAATTTCGCACCATAGCGTAACCTGTCTTAAGATTTTCAGTATTTTGTCTACTCGACCATTATCAAATTTTAAAACGCAATTTCCGCGTAAATAAATTAGTACAAGACGGGTGAAATTACCAACGACTGCGATGATACTCACACAAAAACGCTATTTTACTGTTTACGTCCTGATACTTCTCTTGTTTTCATGGTTTCTATTTACTACGGGAATAGGAGAAAAGGATAACTCGCTGATGCAGAAAAACAAAGTTAATAACAAAGCTAGTCTTCATACATTACTCTTCAACAATAGCTACGTCGTTGAGCTTACACCCTCTATATTAGTCTCTTATATTTCTCAATCAACTTTATCTATTCATGATAAAACCTGTTTATTCCTGTATGTCTATGCACCATGGAGCCTTCACGCCGTGGCATATATCAATTCGGGCGTATTGCAAGAAATTGCCAAAAGGTATCATAGTTATGATAGTAATATCGAAATAACAGCCATGGAGATTTATGAACCTAATGATATCGTAGAAAAACAGTAGGAGATTATTATTGGGGGATGATAGTAATGTGGAAGAATGGACATAGAATGAGGGTGGGCTGGGGCAAGGCATCGATACAAGAAGCAATTAACAATTTTTGCTATAGACCATCACGATCAATATTTGAGATAACTACCCCAAGAACACCAAAAGTTACAGTCACGTGATATTTGTTGTACGACAAAACAAAATGTACCTCATTAAGTGCGTGGAAAAGTTATTCTTCTTGAATATGATTTAGCGATAATTTTTTGCTTGGTGTTGGTCTATAACTATTTTTTCGCTTCATCTAAATAAGTTTCCATTTCGGCAAAATTAATTCACCATCTTTTATTTCTTCATTATTTTGTATGCTGTCATTATTGATAACTAAATCATTTGTAGCATCACGTAAAGCTTATAAATAAAAAAATTAGCAATATTATAAATCAATAAAATCTTTTGAAAATTTACCATTTGAGTTTGAAAATGTTACACATGTTTTATTCTTTTGTGGATTGTTACCATCTTGATCCCTTTTTTTATTTCATAAAAACAATTATGATCATTAGAGTAATTATCATTGAAAATGACCAAAAAATAATATAATACAATGAAAGCCTTAAATAATTTGGTAGCTATTTATAATAGAGGACATCTATGGCTATTAGATATCGATATCAGAGGGCTTGGGAACACATGGTGTCAGGACATTTCGCCGAAAGCCATTTCGCTGAATAATAATCTCTGGCCTGATTTATTTATAATGTTGGCCCTATTTTTCGGACGAAATGTCCCGTAACCGATTCATAGATAATTCCCTCTTAGAATTTATTAAATTGTACGCATATTACGTAGTATCCATAGATTTACAAGATTGTAATTATTCCAAAAAATTCTGTAGATTTACGTGATCATAATTATTTTAAAATATTATAGTTAAAATAAAAAGCGTGTACTATAAAAAAAGACCTTGCTCAAAATTTAATATTTAATAAATATATGAAAGATTAATATTATATATGTTTATTTCGATTATATCACAGCAATCACAGCACGACCTTGATCAAAAAAAAAAAAAATAATTAGAAAAAAAAATATTAAAATAAAAATCGGAAAAAAAGGCGCTTACCACCGTATTCACCGCAAGCTTAAGTACGAAGTAAATAATATATAAAATTTCGGTTTTAAAAAAACTGAAAAATAAAAAAATTTTTTTATTTAAAATCAACATTCGGGCCACAGAGGGCGAGAGGATGGAGACGACCGAAATAAAGCCTATATAATAAAAAAACTAAGCTTTCTTCAAGAAAAAAATCTTCACAGGATTGGCCGTTGGAACGTACACATGACCTGATAGCCACCAATAAATAACCACAGCGTAGCGATTCCTTATTTGCGAAGGTAGAATTTTGACGACTAACGTCAGATTTTGACATGTTTTAACTGAATTTACCAAACATTTTATCTGCTGAAAATTTTCACGTAATTTAAAGGATTGATTTCTGTGAAATAATCAATATTTTTACTTGAGATATATTTATAGAGAAGGAATTTCTTTAAAAAAATGTGATATTTCAGATACCATTAAAACTTTGTTGCTGTCAACGAACTTAACTTTCAGGAATTAATATTTGTTTGCAATCATTTTTGATGAAAACAGAAAAAATATGTTAAGTTTTGATATATAAAACAAGTTTTAAAGTTGATTCTTTCTTGAATTACAGAATTGGTATTTTGCGAACCAGAAAAAATTTTAATTCAGTCGATTTTTTTTTCAATGACAGAAAAGGTTTTATCAAACGAATGTTATTCAGGTATGAGAATATTTCTTAGTTGGTATATTGCTCAGAATCTCAGAATCCAGGACTTCAAATCTTATGAGTTATTCAAAGGATGAATATTAGTATATAACTTCTGAACAATTCTTGGATAAAGTATATCGTACAAAAAAATTATACCTAAGAGTTGCGTATCAACAGTACAGTAATTCAAGTGATTCGAGAATCATTAATCTCGAGATCAAAACCGGTTCGTGAAATCTTACGATGATCTTTCGGATTAACGGGAAAATTTAAACAATTTATATCACGTGATACGTTAAACTTGCAATTTATTGGTTAGATTTATATAGTAATTCTTAATTCAGACTTTATATAATTTTAGCCAGTTAATGATCAGATAAAAGTATTTCTCTACGTATGTAATATTTATTAGTCTATAATTGGTGAGTTTATTTTTTTTTTAATGAAATCTGTCTATTAATAATCACATTTTCTATTAGCATTAGAAATTATTTATACCAATTATTAAATATTTATTTGGTCAAACAACTATTGAAAAAATTATGTATCAGTTCATTTTGTTGTATTTTTTTTTATTAATATATTTATTTTACGTTATGCTATAATTTTATACATAGATTTATACAATCATGAATGAAGTTAAGGATCACTGAATTAATAAAATCCTAACGTGTTCGATTCTATGAAAAATTATACATTTTGATTGGTAATGTATCATATTTGCACTTGGTAATGTAGTATAAAATAATTAATTTATTAATCTCATTTTATCATTTAATCAGGAATTGAAAGTTTACAAGAAGAACATTTCATAGTTTCATATTATTACTAGTAATCCTTTTGAATTATAGGTTAGTTCTTGATACTTGAGTTATAAAACATTATAAATCTTAAATTTCTACTCTAATTCTATAAAAGGGTAGTAATCATTTGTATTTGCTGATGCATTTATTAATTTCTCAAATTTTCCAAGATATCGTTTAAAATTCTGAACATATTCCTTATTGCTAAATTTCCTATTATTACGGAGAATTTCAAAAATCTTTTCTCGTGTAAATGATGGTTTGGGAATAGGAAAAGTACATATTTCACTAACAATATCACTAGAATTCATAGAACTAAACAAATCACTGTTATTACTTTTATTAAGTTTATTCAACTCCAAATAATAAATATGATGAGAATGTGCTAATCTTTCTTGTGTTCTCTTTGAAATTAGTTTAAAGTCTTCATCATATTCGTATTTAATAATATCATCTATAATAAGCTTAGAAGTTTCTTTAAAACTTGTTGGTAATAGATATTTATCTGCAAGTATAAAAGAAGTAAGAACTTTCTCAGTGAAATGTTCTTGAAGAAATACTCCACAAGAATTTATGAGTTTTCCGATAATGAATTTATCAGATAAACGTAATAAATTTTCAACATTCTTCCAATCAACATTTAATATGGTATTAGGATAAATAAATGAAAGCATGTTTTCAATTGAATCTAGGTTCTCACCAATCATTTCGAAAATGGGGATTGAACTTTCTTTTGATGAATCTCCTATAACTTTAATAGTTTTATTTGAAGAAGGTGTCTCACAAGCAAATAAACCCTTGAAGAATTCAGAAGCAAGTGAAAGAAAAGTTTTATGTACAAGAAAATGTATATTTTTAACTTGGAGAATAATGTCACCATCCGTATAATAATGAACAGTGTGTTTTATGTATTTATCCATAATGAAATAATTGTTTTATTCATAAATAAAATATTTTAAAGCTTTTATATTGTAATTTATGTAACACAAAATAAATAAATTCCCACATATTGTGTCACAATTTGATATTGGCGTTGATCAACATGAAAATCGAATGTTCATACTCTTAAAAAAGGGCTTTTTAACGTTAGAATTCAAATTGTGACCTTCCTATTATAAGTATAAAACCTTAAAATTATTTAAAACACATGCAAAAGATGTGGTGAAGAATATACAGATATATATAAGAAATGGTGTATAACAACAAATTGTTCTAATTATATTCAACAAATGCAATTAAATATTGATGATCCATCTGATATATTATTTGAATGGATACCATATAATCAATTTAACGATATTAAGGAAATAAGGAAATAATCAATAATGATCTTACTGTAGTTTATTCAGCAATATGGAAGGATGGTCCATTATATAATGATAAAAATAATGAATGTATTAGACCAAATTTCAAAATGAGGTACGAAAATTTTCTATGAATTTAGTTCAAATATCCTTGTTTAATAGTAAAATATTCTAACTTTGAATTGCTACTACTTTATTAAAAAGCATTTTATGTAAAATTTAAAAAACATGGTTTTATTAAGCTTGTTCGTAGTAGTAATTTGAATTTCATCAAATTTAGTTGTTGTATGTACTGTATAATAATAACTCATTATAATTATTTTTATCAACGAGGAAATACAAATAGTTTCGCAATATCAAGATATCAAAACAATTACCGAAAATACCGAAAATAATCATATGTACCACATTTTAAGCCAATCATATTTAAGAAAGAGGTATAGGACAATAACTTATCCCGGGGTGTGTTTTCATCGTGTCAATCGTGTCATGCACAATCATATATATGTCATCTCATGTTATTAAACCATCTCGTAACATTTGAATATTTTGGGATACTTCAGGATCAGGTAAAGAAGGAATGTTATAATACTCAAGAGCAAATACAAGAATCTCAAGTTCAATTGCTCTGAATCTTAAAAGTTTTTGTATACTGAATATTGTCAAGCTCTTGCTGAATAAAACTTCGAATATTCTCAGAAGTGTGTACATAAATCTGATAAAATGTCCAGGATAAGTTTATAATAATGTTCTAAATGTTCTAAGATTACCGTTGATGAATTAATGGTAACTAGAATCAATGTTTACGTCGAATATAGCTGAGACCTGCTTTTTCAAGATCTTTGATCCGTTTCACATATTCTTCTACTGGTAGTGAATAGGTTTTCTTTCTCCCTGTTTCCGTTGATCCTTCTGCTCTGGTACCTTATCATAATCATCTATTGCTTCCCATATATGTGACCAACACCATCTGCCACATCCAGAATGAAACCGCTATCACATAAATCCATATCAACATCTTCAGTTTCCATTTCTTCATTGATATCAAGAATTGCATTGATATCAGTAGGTATTGACATGGTAAGTGGTAGGTTAAACTATCTGGTCTAAATCACGCCCTATAAAAAAAGAAAATTCGGAATTTGTCCTGAAAAGTATGGAAAATGTCCGGAAATTTTTCGTGCGTCCGGAAAACATTCGGAAACGGTCATGTTTTGGAACATTTTCCGGACGCTCGATTCTGGACAAATTCTGGACAAATTCTGGAGTGTCAAGAAAATGTCTGGAATTTGTGTGTCCGGAAAGTGTTCCAAAACATGACCGTTTCCGAATGTTTTCCGGACGCACGGAAAATTTCCGGACATTTTCCATACTTTTCAGGACAAATTCCGAATTTTCTTTTTTTATAGGGACGTGATACACTAGTAACAATTCTTGGCTATGTAGAAGTAAAACGATTTAAAATTAAAGTCCATATATGCATCATAAAGAATTAATAACGATATTATCAGTTAATAAAAAAAACATATGGAATCAATAATAATACTGTATTATATATATTAATAAAAAACAATACAAAAAAGCCACGCGGATTCAATAAAATTCAATTTACCTTATTAAATAAATATTTATAGCAAAATTGTTCCAAAGTTTTTCTTGTAGATTTATTTTAGAAATTTTTTTTTGAAGGAAGAGAGTTTTTACAACGTGTGGGAAAAAATTTTATTGATTTAATGAATCATAATAAATGACGGACAATTGACGTTGATGTCAGCGGAAAATTCAAAAGTGGTTTCGGTTATCGGAAAAAGTGGCGGGTATAAATTAGTAAATGGGTCGTTTCGACCTATTAATAGAATTTTTTTTTTTTTTTTGTAACACATTTCTTTATTAAATATAGGATAGACCTAATTAATTACAGAAATACTTAGGGGCATACATGCCACCATGATATGGCCCTATAACAAAAAAGTCTATCCTACTAAACCAAAACAGAAAAACAAAACATAAACACATACAAACCTATCACGCACCCTACTACCTCCCTAACTATTTGGCTAACCTATCCCAAACAAAAATTCTCCACTTGCTCAGGCGATATTACACCTCTCTTCCAACGTCAAACACCCGCAACCCAACAAACCTACAAAAGCAACATTATTAATCTACAGTATATATCCAAGCCCCACGAAAAAAATGCGTCCGGAAAATATTCTGAAATTGTCCGGAATATAATTGTATAAATTCCGGACAAAATGTGTGTCCTGAAAACATACGAAAATGCGCAAGATTTGGAACATTTTCCGGACATTGATTTTTGTCCGAAATTTGTCCAGATTTGGAATTTGTCCGGAAAAAAAATTTTCTCTGAAATGATCAGCAAGTCATGATATCAATGATATATTACTTATACAAATACCTAACTGATAACTGTTTATAGCAGTTCAAATTAACATCATAGATAGTATTTTTGCTTGATCTTTAAGTTTACTTAGTATACACGCAAAGGTTTTGAATACCAGTTTTTTGCTTTTTACATTTTTTGATTTTTTATTGTCCAGAATTTGCCTGGAATTTTTTCTCGTCTAACTACCAGAATTTGTCCGGTTTTTTTTGTCCAGAGATTGTCCAAAATATGTCCAGGATTTTTTGTGTCCAGAATTTGTCCAGTTTTGTCTATCCGAAATTTGTCCTGAATTTTTCATGTCTGGACAAATTCCGGACTTCAAAAAATTCTGGACACCATATTTTTTCATAATTCCGGACATTTTCCAGACATTTTATAGGATACTGGACAATTTCCGAACAGTTTTGGTGACAAATTCCGGACATTCTTTTTTCGTAGGGAAGGAACCAAACTAATCTGAATCCCTAGACCAAAAGTTGTACGGAATAGTGTACGGTAGGTCCACCGGCATTCTCCAGTCCAATTCCTCAAAAATCCGTAGAGAGGCCCTTCGTCACAGAAACTTTTTACTTTTGTTTCTCAACCTATTAATAGAATCTCTCAAATAATAACTTTGCGAGAATTATTTGAGGACAGCATTTCAACGGAAATAACTTTTTATGAAGTAATTAGAATCACAATACCGCATATATTGGACAAATTTGATTCATTCTCTTTATTAAAATGCTTGGAAGATCCCCGAGCCTTGTTCAACTTATTTATCCAAGTAATGTCCGAACTCAGAAAAAAAACGTACACGTACGTGGAAAAATATATTCATTGCATGAAACAGCCTTCATTTACAAACACGTTCATTAAATCCTATAATATATTATAGGGTACGCGGATAATCCATTTAATCTTATGTAAATAAATATTCAAATAGAGGAACTCCATTTTGATCAACGAGATCTCATCAAACATTTCTTGGTATTTTGATATAAGCTTCATATGTTCTCGCATTGGACAGACGTGCTGTTAATTATAAAAAAGCGAACCCCACGCGAACCACCAAAATAATAAATTTATTTATATTTAATAATTACGTGATTTGATAAAAAAAAAACTTATGATGTTTTGTTATGCATTATCATTTGTACAGACATATCAGATGCCAAATATCATAAATTTAAATAAATAATATTAATGCTTTAATGATACCTCATAAAGTTAAAACAAAATATATGCATTATTCCATAAAAATATAAATCCTTAAAAGATTCATAAATTAATCTTATATTTTATCAAATTAATCAAATTAATTTAATTTGTGGAACAAACATGATTTTGACATATGTGTTATATATGTAGCCGAAACTTGCCGAAAACATGGAGATCAATGTCCGAAACTATTTTATAATTCTGGCCAAATTTTTTAGTGCTGGCCAGGATCATATATCACGTGACACCGGATAAAGTTTGGTCACCCGGGAAAGAATGTTATAGTACGCAAAATTTATAATGCGGGCCAAAATGAATAATGCTGGCCAGAAAGTTTCGGCCAAACTTTCAACTTTCGGCTGGAGTTTCGTTTTGGGAATGATTGACCGAAGGCAAATTATCCCGAAACTGCCGAGTTTCGGCGACAAGTATAATATGTGTTACTATTTATGGTTACAATGACCTTCTAAAAAAAGTTACACGAGGAAAATTATTTCTGTTAGGCCGGTTAAATACATTAGCCATATATTGAATTAAAATACTCATTTGAATAATAAAAATTTTCACCATATTAAAAAAAAAATTTCTTTTCCTATCTTAGTAAAATTATTGATCTTGTCATATTATACTTAGATTAAGTTATAAAGACAACAAGTTTTCATTTTTTTTCATAACTTTTTGTATTTTACACAAAATTATCTAAATATTGATATTTTAACCTTTACAAATTCTTTTTTTTTCCTAATATAATCGGGTAAAGTTTCTTAACACAAGTAAGAAATTAATCTCTTTTCTTAATCAGTATCAGGAAATTGCACGACACGAAACTTTGTTTACGTATACTGTAGTATCGAAATCAATAGAATTAATAATTAAAGATTTAACAAAGGCTAACAATCGAAATTTACTTTCTATTTGTTCAAAAAGAATTACACAACACGCAGTCTAGCTTGTTTACATTTTGTGTAATCACGACCATTGAATAACCATGCACGGACAATTTGTGTAA